TTCTTTTATGCAGTTTTAGTGACTTGAAAATCTGTAAAAACTTACCCCTAAAACGGGATTTTTCCCGCAAGTTATCGAAAGTTTTAGAATAGCCCTGTTTGGTATCTCTCTGACCACTCAAACGAGCGATGAAAGTGTCATAACTAAGAGTTTTTTTCTTGTATTTAGTTATATCTATTTTTCACCAGACGTAAATACTTCACCGTATCGCTTCCATGCTCCGACATGATTACTGGTTAAATTTGTTCTTTACACCAAATACTAGCTTCGTCGATTGAGCGCTTGATAACCATACCTAAGCCTCCACGTTTGTTATATCTACCGATGCAACGATTAAAACTTAATTATATTTAAATATATTTATGTTAGAAATATATGCTTATAGCTTTATCACAGAATAAGATAGAATCTATGGTTATGGTGGTAGTCATTAATACCGGTCCGATATTGTCTTGTATAGTTAGTCACATATCTGTAATCATACCGAATATATAAAAATATAGATTTATTTTCAAAACTTACTGAAAACATGATCTACCATTTAATTAACCGGTATCTTGTTCATTTGCTATAGACCATATGATCCCACTAGCGTGGTTACGATCGCGATGTATTAAGTGTTCCATTGCCGAAGTATGTTAACAAAATTTGCAATTATATACTTATACGTAACGAATAGACGTAGACGCTTAATTGCATTCCGATTTTGAAACTATCCAAGAATTTATATACTTTATGGGATTTCTCAACCTTGCTTCAGTTCGTTAAATAAGTTTTGAAAAAAAATGAAATTATCACGCACAGTAATACTAAGTAGGCAGGGCCCATTTTTTTCCATTTCGCTACATCCACTACAGCATCATCCATAGTTCACCCATGATCAATTTTTGTAAATTTATCTCATTCTTCGGTAACGGATATAAAAAGGAGAGAATATTTTTGTTTTATCATGAAGACAAAGGAAGAGTTGCATTAGAAAAAGCGTTAAGGGGTTGTTTTGCTTGTTATACCCTACGCAGCTTGTGATATATTGTGTCTGTGCGGATATAGAAGCGCTTAAGATAGTTCTACCTTTTATTATGTCTGATGCCTGTCTACGTAAATAACTTTGATACCCTGACGTGCTTTGACGCAAGCACGAAGGCTATTGAAAATTGTTTAGGCCGACCCACTTTTTCGACCACTACCCATTTTGAAAATTCGTTACAGTGAAAAAAATTGCAAGTAGAAGTATTTCGGCATTCTAAATTGGTATGAAAACCTTGGCCCGGCTGAGGCAATTTTTTAAACTCCCCCTTATATAACGAAAACAAAGGTTCATATGACAAAAAGGTCTAATTTTCAATGCTTCATGTTGAAAATCAGATCATAATATAATAGCAGTTTGCCATAAAAGTTAACTTTACAAAATTTGGACCACATACGCCTATATTTTGATCCTACTCTATATAACGATTTTGTCGGAAATTCTCGTTTCCTAGGGCAGAAAAGTCGTAGCTTTTATATTTTATGATGAAAATTTATCCATAATAGTAATTTGACATAAGCGCCAGGCGAAGTGGGGCAGGGTATCTAATCGTGGCCTTTGTCTGAGTGTAATAGTTTTACTTCTATTTTATTGAAATGGTTCAAATTTCTACTTTCTAATTAATCCTGTAATCTCTTTCAAATCAGCTTAATTATGTGATGTGAAAAAAAACCAAAAAGATAAGATAAGTTAAATGATTTAATTACTTGCTAAAGTCCTTTCACTAGTGACCGAATGGAAGCGTTTTTGTATTTAATGGAATTTGAAAGTTTGGTATTGAAAACATTTAAATGGCAAATTAATTCAAGTCTTCTTTTTGGCGTAAATGTGCTTACGGCAATCAAGCGGACATAATAATAATAGTAATAATAAAATTTTTCGTTTTTGTCTTTTTTCTTTAAATAAGAAAAAAAGATGTGATATAAACGTTTGAAACAATTACATCCATAAATGCAAACTTATCGGATAATAGCTTCGGTTGCAATGAAACCACGGAGAGAATAAATAGATTGAAATTCTGCTGCATGGAATGAATATTAATGAGAGCAAACTGCGAACTCGCGCAAATTGTATATACTCCATACATAGCGATTATTTTCTCTATGTATTTTTCATTCACTTGGCATTTAATTTAGATCAGATTTAAAACAAATTGTATCACTTATGTTTTTGATTTTGAAATTTATTGAATTTCCATCATAGATAAAAGTTTTCATCAAAGGCAAAACACTTTTTTAATAAGTTGAAGGAAAGAAGTATAAAATGCACGAAATGATAAAACATCTGACGTTTGAACGGGACACAGCAACGGCCCTGTCGTCCTTAAATTGAGAAAGGGGACCTATTCGTTAATGCTGAACACAATGAATACGTTTACCTTTGACATCATAAATACACATGTTAAAATATGAACTTATGCGGTCAACTGCATATAAACACATTCATTTGACGTTTTGGTGCATTACGCATGATGTACTGTGCTAATGCAATCATTGTGTTCAGCACTTGATAGCTTATATCCATAGTTAAGGCGTAGAGGAAACGCCTGGTTTCAGTGTGCAATTAAAAATATTTCAATATAAATTTTCACGGGTTAAGGCCTTAATATTTCTAGTTCAGCTTTTTGTACGCATTGGCTGAATTTCTAGTGTACCAGCTACGAAGGACTCCTACCCAGCCTGTGTAGGCAAACGATAAACTGTTGGGATTTAGTAAATGGAATATTAAAATAGTTCTCTCACAAATTTAACGCCAATTCAAGTCATATTTCAATGAAATTCTTACAGATTTATAATATACTGCTTACAGAAGTACTTTCATATAATGCGTTAAGAGCAACTATACTTCATGGGTTTTAACTTGATTTCAAAACTTATACTTGTCTAAGGTAGCCTGTTTAATATTTGGAATAAAAGTATCTACCTAGTTTGATCATAAAATGTGGAGTTGTTCAGAAAGTCAATTCGTGTTCTTCTTTTCTTAGGAATACGTTCTCGCATTTTCTTACAGCCAAGGTCACACTTAGACCGCATCGGCGTTACATATTTTGGCGTTACATATTTTGGTAGCTAGGCTAAACTTATTTGATTTCAATACTTTTTCGTTGGTGCTCTCCCAAATCTGAAGATTTGAAAACAGTAATCTCAGTATATTTTACTTTCTTACTGGCGAAAAAGTGAAAATGTTGTTCAAGCATGAGAAAAATTATTAGATATCTACAGAGTGAATTTGCGGCCCAAACGTCAGTGTCAAAACTGGTTTACAACATTGCACTGGACCGTTTGAAGATAGCGATTGACCAGAAACAGCCAGAATTGGCCAACAGGAGAGGTGTCGTGTTCCACTAGGACAACGCTAGGCCACACACATCTACAGTGACTCGCCAGAAACTTCGGAAGCTTGGTTGGGACGTTTTAATGCACCCGCCATACAGTCCGGACTTGGCACCAAGCGATTATCATCTTTTTCTTGCATTGCAAAATTTCTTTAATGATAAAAAATTGGAATCTAGGGAGGATTGTGAAAATCGACTACTAGAGTTTTTTGCAAATAGAAACCAGGACTTCTATGAGAGAAGCATTTTGAAGTTACCTTTAAAATGGCAACAAATCGTACAACAAAACGGTGCATATTTGACCCAAATCGGAAAATCCGAAGCTTGCTAAATAAAGTCCTGAAGTTCATATAAAAATAATGGATTTCTTTTTCCCCAAACTAATACGTCGTTCCAATATAAGGCCTTGTTATTGATGAGCATTCTAACACGGCGAAGCGTATGAAGTATATGCCTGTGTGGTCCAAACTATAGCAAATAGTACATTTAGATCTTTCTGCGACACAAATAATATTTTGTTGTCATAATTTTGTATTCTTATTTATTATTTATAGGGAGAGGTTCGAGAATAAGTCCCATCTGACAGACATTTTCCACATTTATTTAGAATGATTAAGGAGTTGTTGTTATTAATTTTCCCGATTTCTGAAATAATAAATTTTTTCATATCGAGATTTGTTTTAAATTGTTGGTGTTTTATGGGGAGTGGTTGTCAAAACGAAAAAATTCAATCCATTTTGATCGGCATTTGTCTTCGAGCCAAAATTTTCATGACAATATCTTGATAATTACGACAGGCAGGAGATATGGACAGACTTGATTGATCGATGCAAAAATGTTTAAAAATGCGAATTCGTTCATCAACATATTCTCCTTTAAAAGTTAAATAAATAGTTGAAGGCTTCTTTACTCTTCGTTGCCATTTGATAGAAGAATATGTAGAGGCCGCCCAAATACGTTGCAAAGTTCGCAATAATCTCATCATTGATTTCAAGTGTGTTTTCCCGAAGATTTCTTTTCGAAATTAGCAAAGAGATAATAGTCCACATGGGCTAGGAGTTACGTTGGCTAAGGCAGTAAATTGAACTTCACCTCCAACAATGTTGTCATTGTAGGTTTAGACTTCTGATCCCGTGTTCTTTTCGCTGCGAGTAAAAGCGATACCCGTAAGGGCAACTGTTTTCTCATGCTTAAGATAACAGTTTTTTGTTTTTTATGATCAACCACTCAGTTGATATCTCCTGTACGCGCGGGCACTAGGCACTAAGTTGCCCTGGTGATCAGGAATTTTTATAAAATGAAACGCGTGACGGAAGGGAGTAGTGTACGTCAACGTTCAACTTGAAAATGGAGCCATCAAATCAGAAAGACTCATCTGTGTCTAGAGGATGTCAAGATTTTTGTTAATATTTTCTAATGTTAGCAACTTTCTCTTTTGGGGGTTTACCATCACCGGTGTCCGTTTTACCGCGTCTAAAATCAGCGCACTATCAACAACGACGAAGTTGCCATAGCACGTTGCAAATTTCGTTTAAGAACCTTTAAGAGAGAGATTTCATAATTCTCGCTAATGTAACCTATATCATGGTCGATTTATTCTTTTTAAAACATTCATATTTCTTTATTTTTTCTTTACAGTTTATGCATTTAAAGAGAAGGAATAATATAAGAACCCAATCGCTTGTATATGAAGTTGATATAATTAAATTGAATTCCAGTATAAAACGTCCATTTTAATTATGGACACAATAGACTTAGATAGTCTTGTGGGGAAACTAGCGGAAGATGTTACGAAAAACGACGTTGCTTTTAGATGGAAGAATTTTTCGAACGTTGACGCCCAACTTGAAAACACATTCGAAGAGGATGACAAATTAAGAGATGTGCTGGAAGTAATTGTTGCAGCATTAACCAATCGGGACTCCATTGTAAATCATACTCTTGAATTACAATGCTTGCAACAACAGAAATTCAATAAAATTGTAAGTTTGAAAGCAGTTGCATTCATGTACGCTTAGCTGAACGATTTATGCATTACTTTGTTTGCGTTGCATTCTCATAAATTCTAATTGCTGCGCTATTTACGAGTCTGTAAATGTAATGTATAAAAGGTTTGTTCGAATGTACGCAACAATTGGAAGGACTTTCTATTATGCCGATCGGTTTAGAATTACTTTCTGCATGGGCCTAAGCTTGGTTGTCCGTCAATCCGTCGGACTTAAGAGAGAGCGACGACTTATTACATCCATCTATTGAAAATCATTTTCTGAGTCTACACTTAAGCTTGTCTGCTTGTCGGTTTGTCTGGCGTCTGCCCAAGTAGTTTGATGATCAACCTACAGATCAGAAATTGCGGAGATCTGTTGACAAAATTATACGTACTCTAATCTAGTCGTAAACCTTATTACAAATGGATTAGATCGACATAGTTTTCAGGTTGTTCATCCTATAAGTTTTTATTTCAAAAAAGCATTTATTAAAATATAATAAAATGCATATTTTCAAAATTTCTCGACGACAGTTGTTGATTATTAATGTCTCAGGCTATTCGACTGACACGAAAAACTTGGAATGGAGGGGCCAATTTTTTTACTTCTTTCCATCTAAACATTTCTAAGAAAAGTGAGTAATTAAGCTAAGTAATGGCAAAAAGTTTTAATCTAAAGCCATGTTGCGAAAATTGATCAATAAAAGTGATTTGACATAAAACTGAACTGAACTAGATTTGAACAATGTAGATCTATTTTTGTATACAACATCATATAAATTCTCCGCACAGGTGTGCCATTACCATGAAACAAGGTATAAATTTTGATAATCCATCAGAAAACTAAATAAAGAATTTTATTTAGCGAGTTTTTAGCGAGAGTTAGTATAGGGATATCTACTGGTCGCTCTCTTATTTTTATGTTAGTCGTCAAATCATAGACATATGCTAAGTTTGCCATTCTATTTGCGGAATACAAAAATACAATTAGGAGATTCTGAGACGACGAAGTGTAATATTTAATCGATTTGGTTATGTCCGGCTAGTTGAGTAGGCCTTCTATTGAAAATCTTATTATTCAACTCGGCATTGGACAGTATTTGGTCAAAAATTACGTTCAAATAGAAATAAAAAGGCCAGAACTTGCAGGAAAAGCCAAACGTGAAAAATATGTCGCTATTGAATAGATCGGAGAATTTGGCCTAAAGTTTTACTAAAATCAGACCTTCGACAGACTAACGATCTGACAAGCAGCAACATTTGCGCTACATTTAAGTATATTTGTTATAAGGAACGGGTATCTAAGATTCGTCGCAATTTGAATTTAATTTTTTTACTTGACTTTTTGAGCTCATAGCTTTCACATGAATTTTGCTCTTATTATACTTACTTTTTATTGATGTGTATACATATATATTCTTTTTCAGTGATAGCTTAACAAAGTGTCTCTTTTATAGCTTTATAAAAAGTTATGATAAATTAAACTAATTTTGTTCTTTTTTATGCTCGTTTCCTCTCCAGATCGATGAACTTAAAAGAGAGGTGACTACGAACAACTCATCGTGTCCCGTTTCATTTGATTCAGTTTTATGCTGGCCAAGCACACCAGCCGGTGCTTGGGCTGCGTTGCCTTGCTTTAAGGAATTTAAAGGTGTACGCTACGATAATTCCCGTAAGTGTATGAACAATTTTGTGATTTCAACTGCAAACATTTAATACACCTCGTCTGGAAATTTGAAATATGTGCTCGTAAGTGTTTATATACATGCAGCCAGACAAACGAATTGTTCAGAAAAGAGAACTTTCATTATTTCTGTTCATTTATTTATTATCGTTATTGATAGGTTGCAAATTAAATATTTATTAAATAAAAAGGAATTATTTATTATTATTAATTTGCTTCCTTATAAAAATTGTGAGTGTAAGATGGGCCAACTAACGCTAATGCAGTCTGTTTATAGCTTCTTACAGTACATCTCGAAATTTTCCGATTATCACCGCACGATAGCATCTGTCATTCATACGATGAATTTTTTTTAATGCCAGTTTACGGTATGTGTCATGATGAAAGACGAAAACCCAATAGAGACCTTTAAAAATTTCTAAATTTTAGACCCCAATTTTAAAACTTTTTTCCTTAAAGTTATATCTTTGTGCAGGCAGATTCATTTTGCAACTTAAGCTAGAGAACTCAAAAACATTAAAGTTGAAGTTGATGTGTCTTAGCTTTATGGCCCTCAAAATTTTTCAAAACAAGGCTCAGTTAGTTAACTTTTGTTATTACTTCAAAATTGTAATCGCAGAGCAAAATGTGTAACAATTAACAAAGTTAGGTACTCGTGTACAACCCAGAGTTCAAAATGATCGATAAGCTAACTATGAGGATATAGATTACACGCACGAAGAAATGACAATTCTATCGCAAGCAAATTGAATACGTGTGGACTCCTCCCTGTCTGAACTGAACTTTAAACTATCAAATATGTATTACATATGTGTGAGTTTTTGCAAAACCCAGCAAAAGCTAGATTATATTTTAAATTGCAAAATAAAAATAGGAACCATTTCGACGTTCAACGGTGAATAGTACTTTGCTGGGAGATGAGAATATAAGTAGTACATTTCTGTTTTTGTTTACACCTAATAAAGTGTAAACATTCTTGATCAGTGGAATCTACTCGATTGTATTACACATATTTGATCGACTGTTTTTTCGTGTCTTAGTCAAGATGATTCGCGGGGGCTAAGTCTGGCAAACACAATATGTTAGAAAATGTGGCTGATGAACTACGTTAACGAAGCAAGCAAAGGTTCGCTTTACCGTGCTAAAAGTCGTTAAAGACTCGTTTGAAGCACTCTCGTTACACTTGTTTTAGTGACATTCCATTTTTATCAACACGTTGCCCATCTTGCGCACACATATTTCGTGCATGTCTCTTTAGCTAATATGTGGTTAATATGATCGACAACATTCGGCGGAGGTTCATCCACCATCGTTTTACGCAAGTTCGTCAGCATTTCCGTGGTCACTTCATTTTGTCTGACACCGAGAAACGCGTCGAACGGGCTTGTTTAGACTCTTTGCTGTAAGCAAACACAATCTATATAGTCTTTGACATTGGCTCGATTGGCACCTTTCAAAAGGAAAGCATACTATGACATAACAATAACCAGTTTTCACTATGTGTATAAATTCACTGGGATTCGTTACTGATGGTTGCCAAAGAGTTGCCACTAGAAAGAGATGCAGATGTTATGAACTTGGTATTCTCGAACAACGAGCACCAGTCATAGTAATACTAGAAGCACTCTCGGAAGCTTCAGCTAGTTAGACTGTTGGTTAAAAATAATCAACATGGCGATGATTGTTCTCTTCCGACCAGATGCGTTTGTATTCAAGCAAATACGTATAAGATGAAGACATGAAAAGAAGCAACTTTAAAATTTAATATAGAATTTTAAAATTTATAATTCGAAAGGTGATCTTAAATATTTTCAAGCAACTTTTGCAAGTACTTATCATATTCTGCTCTACTTATTTTGTTATTATGCACTTATGCATTTAGGAGAACTTTTTGTGCTTTTTTTAAAAATTTTGTCAAAACGTTTGCAAGGCCTATAAGGCCACTTGAGAGAAGCCGTTAAATATATATATATATCTTGATCGGCATCAAATTCTGAGTCGATAGAAGCATGCCCGTCCGTGTAATGGTTGTTGGAAACCATTTCCTGGTGGAAAATAACCAGCTATCGATTTCAAAACGTGCAGAAACATTGTACACAGCTTGGTATTGAAAACGGGCCCAACCTACAGTATTACGTAAACTGAGAACACCTTTGTTTTTGAAAAGAAGTAACTCATTGGTTTTTTGCCCATTACTCATAAACCATTGCAGATAAACGTCCAAACCTTGACCCCATTGTATTATCTACAAATTTGCAAAAGAGTTGGAAGCAACCGAAACTTTATAAAACTTTATATAACCGTGTAAAAAGATTCGATTGAGACTGAATACAATTTTGTTAGTTCCTTTTTTTTCATATTCTTTTTACTTTCAGAAAATGCAACACGCTATTGTCATTCGAACGGTACATGGGATATTTACACTAACTATGATAAATGTCACAATGTTATGCAATTACCGGAAGTGCCGGATTTTGCACCAGGTATCGAATTGCCAACCTATATATACTGTTGCGGATACTCTTTAAGTTTATTATTTCTAACCTTGGCTCTCATCGTTTTTCTTTCTTTCAAGTAAGTTTCATGACAATTAAATTTCGATAGAAAAAAATTAGTAAATGAATTCATATAAAAATAGAAAGTAGTAAAATGTGGTGTATGGTGGTATATGGGCAAACTTTACGGCTGAACAAAAGAAGCTATAATATAACGAGCGAAACAACGTTGACGAGTTAACGACCGATATCGCTTACAGCTTACGATGCAAGAACTAATTACTGAGTTCTCGGAATGTCATTTTGTTTATTCAATTCAAAATCCACACTTGGGGTTAACTAGATGTGTTCCAATTTTTTTTATCATTAGACTTAATATTTTTTGAACTATATATTCGTGAACTATGTTGCTTCGATTTTGAATTGTTTGTTTTAGTTAGATATAAAAGTTAGATGCATTTTGATATGCTCAGCGATTTTTGGTTATCAAATCATCTAATCACTATTAGAGAAGTTGCCGAGGACGTTAGTATATCGGTTGGCTCATGCCATGCGATTGCTTTACATGTTTCAGTATGAAACGTATGGCAGCAAAATCTGATCCCAAATTCCTGAATTTTGCCGTCGTGTTAAGTTAAACCGTCGCATGAGCATCGTTTAGGACTACTTAAGTTACGTCAACGATGATTCGGATCAACCGGCTCCTTGAAAGGACGGAGTTGTGTCACGATTGAGCAGGTAAAGATTGCATCGCTGCAAAAGCTTAAGGCCATACCAAAAAGCACATATCAGAAGTGTTTCGTGGATTGGAAGAAGCGCTGGCTCAAATGTACAAGTGTATATCTAAGAGAGATTACTTTGATGGGGACGAAATAGATGTTGATGACTAAATAATTATTTGGCGAGAAGAGAAAATTTTGAAAAATAGGGGAAAATCGAACGCCAGGTCTATAAAAATCTTCTTTGCCTTTTTCGCACATCGCTTGAAAGCCTGTTTTGTTGGCTATTTGCGCACTGCCGTTTGTATTTGTTCCAAACTTGGACTCCATACTTTTAAATAAATGAAGTCATTCACTCTTCAACATATAAATTTATTCTGTCATTCCTGTTCGCGATCTTTTACAGCAAGTGATTGGTGTATGGTATTAATTGTTTACTGCTCCTTAATAATTTCTTCAAATATAGCTCGATTTTGTTTCAGCAGCGAATTGCAGATGGAAAGTTAGTTCATTAAATTTTTCTTAAATATCAATTTACTTATGAAAATGGTCGAGCAGAGTGCGGCGAGCATGATTTCAATTTTCCTAGCAAAGCAATGTGCGTGCTGCTCATAGAATTAATGTTAATAGAGTCATTCGACTCTTGGAACAAACGCTACGAGTTTTTTTTTTTTCTATTGCATACGTTTTTGTTTTTTTTTAATATTTGTTCCATTCTTTGCTTATTATAGAGAGCTAAACAACCAAAGCCGTTACACTGTCTAAAAGTTCTGTCGAATTGAAACAAAGGTATCGTTTAGTATTTTTTAGGACAAATGTGAGATTTCCGACAATGGTGGTCCTTTAGAGTTTTCAATAAATACTTCCTGATATTAGAAATAGGAGAAGACACTTTGTGAGTATTCTGAGAGTTGATCATTGGTTATAAAACATTCGGTTCATTACCTTTCGTGGCTAATTACGCATTTACTTCTGCATTTGTGCATTCAATAATTAAGTGAAGTGATGCAAGCGTATGCATGTGGGTACGCGTATGCGAGTGTGTTTTCGCTTATGTATGTATCTAAAAACCATACATTTTAATTTCAATTTTCATATTTTGTTTCTTTTTTCTCTTCACATTTCCATTGTTAATTTCTCCGTTCTGTGACGTGCGTATGGCGTTGTTGATGATGTAGAGACTTAAAATGCCTGCGGAATACAATACATGCAAATTTATTTTTAACCTACATTCTCTCAGCGTTGCTGTGGATATTGACTTTATTCCTTCAAGTGGTAAGTTGTTATTTTGAATCTATGCGCGTAAAGCTGTTTGCCTTTGCATTAAACAGGACAGCAAAATAGATTACATATAACATATGTGTGAAATTTTACTTTTACATTCGCATCGCGTTATAAGAAATGCAAAGTAGCACAACTCGAAATGAAAAATGCATTAACAAAAAAGAAAAATGAATTTACGCTTGAAAGCGTGTTAAATGAATTTTAATATGTTTTTTAATATGCCTATGTATGCTGCGTGCGCTTGATACTATATGTGTCCGCGAATAACAATGAAGCGAAGACTTTTACGATTATTTTCCATTTCTAGATGACAGATCATGCTAGTGAAGCTGGTTGCATTACGTTGGTCATGATGTTCCACTATTTTAATTTGACAAATTTCTTCTGGATGTTTGTTGAAGGTAAGGTAAGGTAACAACAAAGATGAATAAAACGTTAAATGATAATTAGAAACATTTAGAAAATTTTAAACTATTATGAACACATACGCACCAATGTTAAACGTAAAATGTTAGGCAAGATTCTGCTATGGCGTGATTATACCATGATTATATATATATATATATATTTTATTATATATAATAATATATATATGATTGTATATAATAATATATATATGATTGTATATAATAATATATATATGATTGTATATAATAAAATATATATATGATTGTATATATATATTAGGTTGGGGAAAAAGAAATCCATTATTTTTATATGAACTTCAGGACTTTATTTAACATGCTTCGGATTGTCCGATTTGGGTCAAATATGCACCGTTTTGTTGTACGATTTGTTGCCATTTTAAAGGTAACTTCAAAATGCCTCTCTCATAGAAGTCCTGGTCTCTATTTGCAAAAAACTCTAGTAGTCGATTTTCACAATCCTCCCTAGATTCCAATATTTTATCATTAAAGAAATTTTGCAACGCAAGAAAAAGATGATAATCGCTTGGTGCCAAGTCCGGACTGTATGTCGGATGCATTAAAACTTCCCAACCAAGCTCCCGAAGTTTCTGGCGAGTCACTGTCGATGTATGTGGCCTAGCGTTGTCCTGGAACACGACAGCTCTCCTGTTGGCCAATTCTGGCCGTTTCTGGTCAATCGCTATCTTCAAACGGTCCAATTGTTGACAGTAGAGATCAGAATTTAGCGTTTGGTCATATGGAAGCAACTCATAATAAATAATCCACTTCCAGTCCCACCAAATGCATAGCAAAACCTTCCTGGCCGTTAGTCCTGGTTTGACCACCGTTTGAGGTGCTTCACCGCTCTTTGACCACAATCGTTTTCGCACAGGGTTATCGTATGTGATCCATTTCTCATCTCCAGTCACCATCCGTTTAAGAAATGGGTCTATCTCATTCCGTTTGGTCAAGGCTTCGCAGATGGAAATTCGATCCATCATGTTTTTTTCTGTTAATTGGTGTGGCACCCAAACATCGAGCTTCTTTTTGAATCCAGCTTTGTGTAAATGGTTTAAAACTATTTTATGGTCGATTTTTAGCTCCTGGGCAATGTTACGACAGCTAACATGCCGGTCAACTTCGATCATTTTTCCGATTTTATCGACATTTTCGACGACCGGCCTACCTGTGCGAGGTGCATCTTTAACATCAAAAATTCCTGAACGGAATCTACGAAACCAAAATTGCACATAATTAGCTGTTACAGTATCGGAACCATAAACACCAAAGAGAAACTGTAAAATCTACCGAATTTTCTCTTTGTTCACTTCCATTTTTAATACGCTGTAACTCACAACTGAATGCACCAAACAAAAAACAGCAAAAGAATTTTTTTTACTGCGAAATGTCACCTTTCCAACGAGCATAAATCTGAAATTGTTTGATCGATACTTTACGAGAAATCTATCAGTGCAGCCATCTACCGAAAAAATAATGGATTTCTTTTTCGCCAACCTAATATATATATATATATATATATAATCATGGTAGTTACGGCATAGTATGTAAAATATAAATGCCTAGAAGAGGAATAAACCGTGAAGAGCGAAGAGTAAAATGAACGAAATAAGGTTACAGAGATGCAGAGAAAAATATAAGTCAGTCGCTAAATGGAAGTCGACGTGTAAAGTTCTACAGATAGTAAACCTTAAGGGCTTCCTTGCTGAGCTAGAAAGAACTTTAAAGCAAACAACTACCGTTCACAGGGAGTACCACGAAACGTTGAGTCTATGATGCTCCTACTATTCACATGGTGTCGCTCACCTTGCGTACAGTGGCAGTGAGACCCGTGTGTCCCAACTTGAAATCCTTAGAAGAGAAAGCAAAACAGTGTAGGACTTATCTACTTTCGTTCAGTTTTTCACAATACAGATCTCGTCGAATCGTGTCGACCAATGATTAATAAAGCGTAGCACCTATGTAAGCCTATTTAAGAATTGCTCGATCTTCACATTGAGCCGAAGTTATGATCAAATGCTTACATCACGTGCACCCTCTTCAATTTGTGTATGAGACACTTGGTTGCGCAGTTTCGTCCTGAAAACAGCCGCCTCTTACATTTTTTGCGATAGCATGAAAAAATCAAATAAATAAAATAATTTTAATTTTTCTGTATCTCTTCTACTTAAGTCTTTTCTTTGATTAAATAAGCCGACTGGACTTTCTCTGGCAACAAATAATTTTTTTTACTATGTTTAATGTTAACGTTATATTTACTGATAGATATGCAACAATAAATAGATTTAAAAAAAAGAAAATTGAATTGATCTTGCTTTTTGGGCACGGTAGTTTAATCTTAATTAAGATATGACATTTCCATCCTCCTTGTAGTACGAATATTTTTTTCATGCAAAGTGTTAAGTCATTGTTTGTTGTTTTCCTACATCTTTCAACTGTAAATGAAACGCAAAATTGATATTATAAATTCATAATGAAATAAAATATTGTTACGAATTTCGCTTTTCCAAGGTAGTACTCGTACTATTAGATCGTGGATATTCTTTTCAACAGAAACACTCTTCTAAATTCTTTTACTAACAATTATATTCCTTAACAGTAGGATTATTTACAATTTATTTTGGCAGTACTCTCGACTTAAAAGTTCTTGTCCAACTCACTCTTCGTTCCGTAAATATTCTATTTATATACATTTTTACGGGCACAGTACTATTACATAATTTCATGGCTTCATTTTTAATCCGTTAACCTGCCTTTCCGGTAATCGCTTTCCTCGGCTGGCAGCTGCATGATGCGCCTGCGAATGTGCACTTGGTTTTTCCCTGTCTGCTTCTCCAATAATCTTTTCATCGGCCCTCAGCTGCATAACGCGCCGCGAACGTGCATTTGGTTTTCCCCTCTCTATAGAATTTATTATTTGGGAAAATTAATTACCTGGAATGAGCTGTATTTAGGATTTTCGTAACAATATATTATGAATAATAAAAACTCATCAAGATATAATATTTGCATAAAATTCTTAATTTGATTTATTTTTTTGATTTGCAGGTCTTTACCTTTATACATTAGTAGTGCAGACATTCACTACCGATAATTTAGGTGCTTTACAATATGCGCTAATCGGTTGGGGTAAGTTCGATTATTGAAAAGAAGTAAAGAAAATGTGTTCTTCCATTTTTGTTTGCCTATTAATGTATGGTGAATATATAAGAATTCTGACTCCGATTTTGCCAGTTCTAGGTCGTTTTGCATAAACAAAAATGGAAATGCAAGTCTCTATGATAAATATCACATTTAACTCAGTTCTGTGATGGGTATCTCGGATACCTGCTAAAGGACCAGTGAAAGGACGTTCAAGGTGATCGGCACAACGTTTCATAACACCAGACATAGTATGGTGCTCCGTGTGAAGTGTACGAGATTCATAAGAATTCGAAATCTGTATAGACTAGGAGCATTGGCGAGTGCAATAGATTTTTCGTGTAGCGCTGTACAGATTGCCCACGTAAGAACACAAGACCCAGTTTTCAGTTAGTTGTTACAGTTGATTAGGATTATTTCGACACGAAATATATTAAAAACATGGACTGACATGCTAACTTCTCGTTGAAATTGCCGCGATACTTTGTTTGCTTCTTTATACACATTTTTAGCGAGCGTATTTCTAGACGTTAAGTGTACATACTTAAACGTGATGTATGAGAGAGAGAGAGAGAGAGCTGTGCGATACTAGTTTAAGTCTTCTTTTCCAAGTTTCCTCTGACTTTTGACAACAATTGACGGACGCGCAGATAACAACTGCATAAACTTTCATTATTCACCATTGTTTAAATCTTTTTTTGGACATTGCGAAATTTTTGATACTTACTTCTGATTGTCTTGAGCCGATAGACGAAATGTTGAAGTATATTTCATTCTTTGGTAGTGGATACATTCTAACCGGAATAGTAAGCAAAACTATCGATTAAATTCAACTTTCCGTAAAATATTAATCTTTCTCATCTAAAGCTCCTACAAGAGGTTGTTATCCAAACCTTTCCTTACAAACTATGACATTTAGCGCCTTTAGTGCAGGAGAAGTCGTATAGGTGATAATGTATGTGCAACCACACCTACACTCGTAGTAATATAAATGTTACCTACAATTATTTATCTGACCTATCAAAAAAGGGTTATTATAAACATGATCTTCCGTCGTTAGTAACACTACAGTGGGTCCCTGTGTCTCCATTAAATACCGCCCTATCAGCCTACCATACACCAACCTACACCTATCCATATCACGACTTTTTAAAATAAGCGGAATTGATAGAAAAAATGGTCCGATCCGACTAATGCGATTGAAGAGTTCGCGTTTGAGCCGAAACTCACTGAACCAATTTGAACCAATTTTCTATGAAATATCCCAAAAATTACCGCTTGTAGGTTGAATAAAGGAAAACAAGGCGGACAGATGGACTGACAAGCTTAGATCGATTCAGAAAGTGATTCCGAAAAACGATCGTCCTATCTGGATGTTGCATACATCCGCACAAACCTGATATACTCCTGCGCTGCAAGCGCTGTAGGGTGTCATCAATAAATAAAACAAGTCATTTAGTATAATTGAAGCAACCGTAACATTTGGAACATTGTTATTGAAATTTTAAGAAAATAATAATGAAAGATTTTTCCATTTGCTATTGCAAGAAATGCAGAAGTTTATATTAACCCTTGAATTGAGGTATTTCCATTAAAAGGTCAACCCCGACGGTTGCGAACCCGAATTTTTCTTATAAATTATTTCATAATATCATTATATGTATTTATGTTAACGTAAATGAACCTATTTTGTTACATCAAAGAGAAAAACAATTTTAATAACAAATGAAGAAATTTCATATCTATACAAGTATAGGTGCGAGCTGTCCAATCCATGGATAATTATTGATGTGTAAAGTAAGAAAAAAAAAAGAAAAGAAAGCAAAACTTTAAATATTTAATAATCAAAATATATTTTCCTTATATCCACCACTCAAGGACACGAGCCGAAATAGGACTCAGAAAACTATGACAAAGTAAAGACATTGCTGTTTAGGGTGAAGGCTTGAGATTTTTTAGCCATAACAGTCGTGAGAATGATTGGAAATTGGGCAGACGTACAAATTTCCAATAGAAGTTGATATTTGACTTAGCGGTAATTTAGACGCCCGATCAAAGGCCGATTTATGGCTGTCGGCATCGAATGCACTATCGTTCAAGATGGTTGAATCGAATGCGTGTTCGACGTTGACAGCCAGCAGCCGACCCCAAATTAGAAAATAAGCGTAAAGCCCAGCCATCTATGTGAGAAATCGGTTACGCAGACGTTTTATCCCAATTTTTATTTATTTATTTATTCATTTTCAAACCAAAGGAGAAATCCTTCTATAATCTGGAATTTCTGCCTAAAAGATTTTAAGAACTAAGTCGCTTGTTCTCCTCTACTTTCTTGTGGAATGATTTTCGAATACACTGCTAGCGGATAGCAGTTCCACTTCTGTGTCGAACGCGATAGTCTGCCTTTGCCCATTTTTTATTAACTGATTATAAGAACTCTGAGAATTAATAAAATTATATTTGGCAGTGTCCGAATCTTTTACACCCATCACCGATTGCTCTAAAACAAAAGCACTAAATAAGAAAAAAAAAAAAAAATCTAAATCTCCATACTCCATAACATTGGATGATCCTTTGATTAGATCCTTGCTGATTTGTTCTACTTTCGTAGAATAAAAATGGAAGTGTATGAGTAACGAGCAAAAAAATCGTCGCTTCATCCGAGCTATTGGGTCAAATTTCAAATTTATACACTTGCAAAGAATAGAAAAGAATGCCGTAAGACCTACATTCAACTGAAGCAACAGAAAGTTCGGGCCGTCGAATCATGGTTTCCGAATATGGTCCGGAAGGCTATCTTGAGCTGAATCAAGCCTTTCCGAAATCTCCGACGTTGTCAAAAAATGATTTTGCTTTAACACGATCTTGAAAGTAGCGTCGTCGCAAAAACCCAGAACGTGGCTTATCGGAAAGGTCGAAATCACATGTTTGAAGTTTTTTGAACCGTCTTCTATTCCGTTCTGTTAGATCCTGTACCTGTCCTAAACATTGTAAAAGAATTTCTACACGCTTCTGTAGCATTTGCTCTTTGTCGGAATTCGTACAATAGACAGTGACCTTTACTGCACGATCGCATCTCCGCTCCAGCTTACTCAAACTAATTTTCTTTTTACGCCCTTCTTAGGCAACACACCTTAACTACGCTCGATACCAAATTAAACGCCACTAAGAGGACAAAACGATATTTTTGGATTCGACTTTATGTCTTCAGCCTAGTTAAAATTACGTTTCTGGAACGGTTTTTCGAGTTTTTGAGCTTCGAGAATAACCAGAGGCCAAGCGAAGGCAAAGCAATCGAATAAAATGGTAGCGACACGTTACGAATGGCATTAGTGATGGAAAAGTGTCGAAATGCCAATACAACATGAGCATTAGAGGCATTAGATTAATGCATAAAAATTAAGAGACGTCTGTTCATAATTCTGACGCAAAGAATTACTTAAATAAACACCACGCTCAAACACTATACCTTATCTTAATACTTTGCCCCAAAGAAAGGAACCCGTATTAAATATCCCATGATAATCGAAAGAAACTGGTAGTGGTATTCTGAACAACATTACAGAGGCATTTCTAGTCATAACTCATTGTTTTGCGTGTGATTTGCGTGACCTAACAACTGTACTTTATAGGGATTTCTGATAATAATTACACCCTACGCCACTTGTCGCACAAAGGTGGATTACATATAATCACTCTGTTGAAATATACAAATCAATTAAATAACCAGTCATTTATTCCACATACAAAAATCTGTGGAACCTACTATTATGGATCAGAGAAGGAGATAGAAGGAGACGTACAAGGGGAGATGAATTTATATTTTTGATACATTTATATAAAAAAGATTATATATTACATTTCAACCAAACCATTTCTGTGAATATATATGGAAAGAGAATATTCTTTTTTTTTTTGAAAATAGGATAAAATCGAAAGCCACGCCTATAAAAATTGTATAAAACTATTCAGGAGACGTACAAGGGGAGAAGGTAACCTTAACGAAAAAAGCTTATAATAATTATTTGAAATTAATTGAATCAAAAAATGCACTCCGAGTTAGGCGATAGAATTTTCGGTTTTCTTTTCTTTTTATTTTATTTACATGAAGGAAAGTTTTTTTTTTAAGGCTGTTTAAACTTTTTAAAAAGTTTTTGTAAAAATCACTTCAGTAATCATCAAATCAAATGGTTTGTGGAAGGTATTAGTGTGGTTATGACAGGTTTGTGGAAGATATTAGTGCGGCTATGCTATTGTCGGGCTAAGGGTTAAGCTTCCTGTTATTAATTTGATAATAATCGGAAGTTATCGGGCTGATAATAACCGGAGATTTATTGGTATGAGCATGCTCTTCCCTCTCGGCTTCTTCTAGCAAACGTGGACGCATACGCCTTTATATACATTCTCTTATATATATAAAAGAACCAATCGGAAATTTGATATTCCATGGATATGGACAAATCTGTTTACTCTGACGAATAGTACCCTTTGTATGGCAAAAAATTCTCACTTTTAAGATTTTATGATAAAAGTTGATCCATAACAGTTGTGCAGTACAAAAATCATCTGTGGGAATTTTGGATTGTGTACGTCTATTTTTTGCGTTCTATCCCATATAATGGTTCTCATCAAAAGTAAATATTTATGTGCAAAGATGGCGTAGGCCTTAGCACTTTGTAATGAAAATAGGTAAAAATAATCAGATCTTTCACAAAGAATTTTTAATATTGCTCAGTTTGAATAAGCCCAGAAGATTTTCCGCGCAAGGGTTTTAACAAAATGTATATTTTATTTATTTTATAAAAGGAAAATTGGTTCCTAAGAGTAAATTGACTTAAAAATTAAGTTTTGTTAAATTTGGACTGTTTTCGCGCTTTTGCTAAACAGAGCTCTGATGAGAGTTTTACCGTAGCGTGGAAACTTTGGATATATTGTAACGAAAACAAATGAAAAACTCTACTAGGATACTGACAGGTTGATCTTAAACATTTTTATTATTATTACTATTTTTTTCTTGATGTACTTGAACAATTTTCAAATCGATACTTAGCATATAGTTTTGATAACTCATTGGCTGTCTTTCTTGTAGATTCGTGAAAACGAGCTTACGGCAAATATATTAGATTCAGTTTTCGTATTCGTTTTTTAGAACTTTGAGATGCCAATACGCGAACGCGTAACTAAAAGAATGGTATGAAAATAAAAAATAAATCACTGATCAAGTTTTTAAAAACTTTATGGAAGTGTTGGGTATACGAGAGACTTTTCAATATATTTATATGTCTGTAACCTCTATCTTTAGATATAAGAAAACTCTTGTTCATGATAATGATTATAAAAATATTCTAGGTTGTCCTGCTGTCGTAACAATTGTTTGGTCGATAGTTAAAATCTACACTCCGCACTTAGAGAATGAAAGTTTTATTGGGGTAAGTAACACTTCTTATCAGTTAATAAAAATATTTTTTTTTCAAATGCTTGCGTGGTATAAAATCATATATTTTTTTAATTTTATTTATTTTTGCATTAACGTCATCGATTGATGTAAGACCATTTATTATATGTATCTGGCGTTTTTTCATATTACAATAAAAACGGTTTATTTACTTTCCTATTTACAACAGCCGCAGGAATATTTAAGTTTTTAAAAAGTTTGTAACGTATAGAGATATATATGTTTTTAAGAAGCGCGAGTAACGGAATCCTTTTAGCAAAGTCTGTCCGTCCCTTAGTTGATATATCGACTACGATCGCAAAAGTTTATCTAGCATGTGGAATCAAATATTTTAAAAAAAGTTTCGCTAAATTTGTAATCGTGTAAAAAATTGGTTCGCCCACACTTACCAAGGAAAGTAATAATTTAGTTATTTTTGCCTGAAATGTATTTCAGTTTATATCTTAAAAGTCAACATAATTTTTAATTTCTCTAATTCCTTTGAAAGCTCTGCGAACTACTATCCAAATACTTATGCCGCGATATGTAGTCAATGTATTCGGCTTTTTTGCTTCTAGGGAGGGTATTAAAAAATTCGTTCCCAGATTAATATAAATTCTCTCTGGTTATCTTGCTATCTTTGTTCAGTTGCATTTCTTCAATTAAATGTTTACATTTTGAAAAGGTTGTTGTATTGCGTTATGAAATTTTATTACTTGTTTGATGATTAAATAATTAATTATATGCTTATCTCTGCAAATGAGGAAAATTTAATTGCAAATAAACCTGTGAAATGTATTTTAGAACATTGGAGTAGTCCTTGCAAAATATATGTAAGGTTAGGCTTTGAAAAAAAATATGGAAAATTATCATTGATTTGCTGTGTTGTTAATTGTAGGTGTAGGACTCTATACACTAAAATTTGTTCAGCTGTTTGTAGTTTTTCTTGTGTCTTAAGATTCAATTACTTTTGATTAAACATCATTTCACTTAGAATTTTGCATAGAACAAAAAAAAAATTCATAGCGATTTTTCAATAGATGGCTTTAAAGTCGCGTAACTTTGTTAATAATAATCTTATCAACAGCACGCAAGTTTTCTAATTTCCGCTCTGGAAATTTCCATATTAAGGATGAACTCTGACCAAGCAATCGTTGATGAGGTCGATGACATTTCTCAAAAAATTGAAGACGATTGACTTGATCTTATGGCATTGCAGCGAGCCTGGACAGGGCCACGCAAGTTTACTACTCGTAAAGAACATATGCATGATGCACCTAATAATATAAGAGAGGTTGTGGTAAGAAATTTTGTGAATATGATCTACTTGTTGAGCTCGTAGGTGCTCACTTAAGTCCTGCATGTTATAAATGTGAAGAATGTAATGTCGTCTTTCCCGATTACCAATCTATGATAAATAATTTCCTAAAGGAACATGGAATGATGGAAAATAAGCCTTTTATTTTTCTCCGCGCTCCAGCATATTTATTACAGTGTGCCTGTTACATCGACATAGAGCAGTACCATCTCTGCGGATCTAAGCAGAGTCCCAAATATTTGGCAAAATCAAGCATACCAAGCCTTACGATCACAACCTGCACCAAAAAGGAAGAAGAAAAGCATCGCTATTGCTGACTACAAATGCGTTTAAATATCGGTGAAACGACTTCACGAACTTTTTCCTTGACTTAGTACATGCAATGCATTTGGACAAAAACATGTCGCTTAAGAATAATTTGCATTATTAAAGGCTGGGTAGGATGTGATGCAAGAGGAACATTAACTTGTGTTTAGCTTAGTTGCAGAGAATGATTTAAGAATACTAGAGAATATCGTACAGATGACATGAAGATGAAAATTTAAGTGAATTGTAGTCATTTGATTACGTATTGTTAATATATTGTCAATGTTCTTATAGTTGCCGTATAAATTATAGTTTGTAAAAAATAACATAGACAGAGGATTTTATATTTTGAATTTTCTACTGATATCTTTTGAAAATATCCGACTTGAACTGATTATTTTGCAAAGCACCCACTGTTTTTCATATATATAAAAAATATAACAATAATTATATCCTTCACTACCTGTAGAATAAAAGCAATTGCATTGATGCGGACGTGCACACCACACATAGAGACTACAGTAGGACACGTCTCTTATTGTATCAATCGCTTCAAGCGCTTCTATCTGATGTGCACCCGTGTATACATGCTCCCTGTATCGATATGTTATAGTGACATTTAATATACTGACATTTTTTGGCCGAAGTACATGTGTAAGCAATGGATTCGATTAGGCCGCCACATAGCGGACTAGATAAGGGTGGCGGCTACCAAGTACGTATATGTGGATTCAAATCTCAACACGTTTTGTGACGATGTTTGGTAGTAGCTACAGTAAGTCGATAAAACGAATAACAATTACCTATTTGACACACTAGGCAATTATAGTTTAGAAAATGATTTCCCATCACCACAACGGCACAATTAACTTCCTAGACTCTAAGGTATACTTAGTTTAAAACTTGATTTGCAACAGCACTGCACCAACACAATTAACGCATATGGTCAAGCAGTTAGGAAGCACGGCCGGTCGTAACTGCGGTGCTAGCTTGGCTAGTAAAGGCATAACTCCTGCCGTTCGAAAATACATCTCTCAGTCTGCGGCATTATCTCTACCTCTTTTTCCACTTCTTCGTGAAGATTACCGTGCTGCACGTATAGGAACAATCCCCTGAGTGATTTATTGTATTAAAAAAAAAAAAGTATAATACGTCCCGAAGCAAGGCTTATTTTAAAAAAGTGGTTATTCATCAACAATTACTACCTCACTAAATCAACATGAAAAAATTGGATCGGCAATATGAACTACAAATTTACCGTAATCTACTGGGAAACTATATAGGTCCGCATTTTAAATATCGTCTAATGAAGATTTAACTTGGACGAATACATGTTCTGATATCTTATAATAAAAATACCTGTAGAATTGTATTAAAATAAGCTTTGCAAGATATCGAATAGTTGGCTATGCCCGACTATAATGTTTCAATTCGTTTTTTATACACTTTTAGAAAAGATATATGTTAATTGAACTTTCATTGTACAATAAATAACATAGTTATGACGGAAATTGCGTTTAGTTTAGAGGAAAATTTTTTGATGCTTATAACTAATGAGTGAATTCGTATATGTTATGAAAATAAAAAATATTTATTTTATTATAAATATCAAAAGTTGAAAATTACATACTAACTAAGCAGGTAAGTGTAACAAGTTATTTAAGCGTAAGCATTTCGAAAAGAAGATAGGCGATTTTGCTCTGATGCTTTCAATAAATTCGTTTCAACAAAAAAGTATCTATCTCATATTGTAAAACTTGGAGTATTTTCCTTAACTTTATAAGTGCACGGGTTTGTTTAGGCGCATGCAGCCTATCGTTCAATTGCAAAAAAGATTTGTACTCTCATTTCAAAGATAAAAGCACTGAATTAACCACAAGTAATTAATGTGAAGAAAGCGCGACATACATATTTTTTCTTATCAGTTACCTTAAAGCAAGTAATGTGACCATAGGGGGTCAGGGACCACCATTAAATTGCCTAATCCACCCGACAGTTATTCACATAGTGACTTTTCAAAATAAGTTGAAGTGGTTTCGAAGTGACAGTGATCCGATCTGCGCAATTTTCATATGTGTTTGTCCTTGGGCCAAAATAAGCCCGTGTATCAAATTTCATGAAACTATATCAAAAACTGTGACTTGCAAGTTAAACACAAAAATACAAGGGCAGATATGAGACAAATAGACGGACAGACAAGCTTAGATTCGATAGATCTAATATCTATCCGAAAATTTCAAGGCAGCTGTAAGACAGACAGGCGGATAGACAAGTTTAGATGGATCGGTATAATAAAAGATGGTTCTACGCCACGTCTTTCTGGGTTTTGCACACGTCCGCTCAAACTCAAAATATTCTTGTACCATAAGTAACGTATATAAGGGTATAAAAATGCACTGCTCAGTAATTTCGTTGAGTATGACGTCGATAATTCAGCCGATCTAAAGAAAATATTAAAAGTTGAAGTTAAGAAGTCAATAAAGTCTTGGAACGCAAGCTTGACGGAAATATGTAGTCATGAATGATTCCTTGCCTACGGAATGGTATTAGAACCGGAACCCAATTTCTCTTCATTCGAAGTACAGCAATGGACTTCCAAAAGTGCGAAGCAGGGAGATAATGCCCGTGACAGTATTGTGCAATCAACTAAAGCTTTGGTAGCTGACATAGAGATCCAGCTTTAACTATTAGATTCGATAACTCGGCCAAAAGTGTCACAAGCTAAAGCTAGGAAGACCTTTTAAAGCCTATATCGAGCTTACATCACAAGTGGTGGATCCACTCACCTAAAAGCATAACCAGAAGCTAATTACAGCAATAGGAACAGGGCGAACTTGTCTAATTCAAAAAAATCTTTTTCTACTTTAATCAGATAGGTTTTCCCGATAATCCAACGTCAGTTAAAATGTTTGATTTTAGATTAAACTCCCAATTGTCCAAAAAAAAAAATCACAATGCTTAACTTCTATTCTTGCCAGGATTTAAAGTGTTAGATTTACATGTCTGATATGGAGCGATAAGTAAAAAAAATGAATAAAAGTTCATATATTACAATGCAAAATTTCGATAAAAATGTGTTTATACAGCCGCAGTAAGATGATAATTAAAAACGTAATATATATGCAAATGCTTTCAGAAAAAGAAAAAATTGTCAGTGCAATTGATGAAATATAAAAGATATAGAAAGAGGTAGCTAAAGAGAGAGAGAGAGTGAAAGAGAGAAAGAAAAGAGCGAAAGCAAGCGACACATAAATGCGAAATATATGATTGATTACGGTATTCTAACGCTGTATTCAAGTGGAGTAAATGTTAAATATTCATAAGAGAAATCTATGAGAAAAAAAGGGTTGGATTTCATTTCACTGCAAGTGTTATTAAGTTGTTATTATAAAAAATATATAATGATATATTGAATGCATTTGATTATGCAAAAATTATTGACAAGCTTTTATGAAGGATTCTGGAAATTGAAATATATGTACTATATTTTCTTCACATTAATCACACAATACATAAAATATAATTAATAATAAGAAGAAAAATTTACTTCATTGTCGATTTATTTGAATTTGATGGACTCTATACACTCTACTTCTATCCAACTTATAAATGCGATATATATAAAAAAACAAAAAAACAAATCACTGAATTGTTTAATTTGAAATTCAATTATTGAATTCATAACCGTAAAGGATGATATTTGAGTTAATTGACTAGCCATCTCTTTTTTTTAGGCTTAATTAACTTTAGACTTTTCAAATCAAGAAAGAGACGAAAAGAGAAGACAAGAGAAGAGAAAGAAATTGCATGCTGACGACTTTAAATGTTCGCTTAGGTCGCATACCAATTATTTGCAAAAACAACACAACCGCTATTTGCAGCCAGTAAGAAAATTCGCCTGGAGTTGAATTTCTTATATTAAAATTGGCTGTTCGATTTTTTTCGTGCTTGTATGGGAACTGGAGGATCTATAGAATATACTTTGAGATCGTCAACGAGTAAAGTATTTGGCAGATTTCCAATATCAATCTGCATGCAAGTGTATCTTTGGCAATTCTAAAGTCGATGTCTTAATATTTCTGTAACCTATATATGTTTATCCCAGATTTTACGCAGATAAACGCATAAACGAACACGTCGGTATCGGTTTAAACTTTGATACTATTTAAGAAGATATACTTATAGAATTTTCGTTTAGACAAAAGGTATATATTCCTATATAAAAGCGATACAAAAGTTGGCCAGCACAACTGCTTACTCAAATCAAGACACTTCGCCCGCATCAAATTGTAATTTTTCATTTTGTATTTTTTTAACAAATCACTAAATTGATTAAATATCAGTTTTCTATTTTCTAGTCAGTGCAATTTGAAATAAAATTTATAAACTGCGAAACGAGGTTCTTTTTCAATCATTTGTAAATGCGAAATGGTGATGATCAATTGTTTAGAATTACAGTCACAACCAGAAAAACTCTTTGATGCAAAAATTTTTTATAAAATGTAAAGAATATTTTTGGACATGGAAAATACTTTTGTAGCAAACTTGAAATTTAAAGACATTTTGTTGTTCCACTTCTAAAATTTCTTTCGTTTTATTTTAACAGTGTGAACACGATAAACATTTATATATATTTTTTCTTGTAAAAATTTACAAAATATTTGGTTTTCTTAAACTATTTCAGTTAACTATAGATTGTTCATGGATGCGTGAATCTCAGGTTGACTGGATTTTTCAAGGTCCCGCCTCTTTAGTTTTACTACTGAATTTAATATTTCTTGTACGAATTATGTGGGTGAGTGCGACATAGCGTAAAATTACAGAATATAGAGATAAACGCGATATTCTGTTAATTGCATTTGCTAAAGCAAGAGTAATTTTTAAAGTGCGTAGAGAAGAGAGAACAAATTACAGAAAACCGTCTTCTACCGCAGCTCTTCTCGAATATGACTACGCTTTATGGAGTTTTGAGAACTGAAATTTATTTCGTTATAAGGACAAGATGACTTCATCTCGGAATATTAAACATGTGCGTAAAGGACACTAATTTCCTTATATCCGTTAATATTACATATATATACCTTTAAAAAGTTTGTTAGGCGCGGATCGCGAAACATATGCAGATCTTCTAAATATGATTAAAGTGGATAATGGAATCCGACTCTGTCTAGTTATCTATTGTGACGTCACCATTATGATTTTCAAATAACTTTACACTAATATATGTAACCGAGAAGTAGTCAGACTTATTATTCTGATCGATTCATAGCCACTTTCTGAATTTAGTACAGCTTTTTTTCCGTCTATCTGTTTGATATATGACCGTGTATTTGTGTATTCAACCTACGGCTTTTTATTCTATAACGAAAATAAATCAAGAATTGTATGTAATTGTCATGATTGCTCGGCATACAAGTTTTGGACTTTTCAATTCACTTACTCCTACCTCATAGTTGCATTTCTAGCATAGTTGCAGTTCTGTTTCTCCTTAGGTACTCATAACAAAATTACGTTCGGCTAACACGTTGGAAACTAGACAATATCGGAAAGCAGCTAAAGCTCTCTTGGTACTAATACCTTTGTTTGGTATAACTTATCTGCTGGTCTTGGTTGGTCCTGAGCAAGGCTTAAGTCGTAATCTATTCGAAATCATCAGAGCGTTTCTAATAAGCACGCAGGTACACATAAATAAACCGTTAATTCCCACAACGAAAAACAAAAAAACTTAATACTGTTTCGTTTCTTGGTTTAACACGTTTTCAGGGCTTTTTTGTATCTTTATTTTTTTGCTTCCTTAACTCGGAAGTACGGCAGACTTTGCGCCATCGCTTTGATAGATGGAGAGAACATCGCAATTTGGGAACTGGAAGTATGCGAAGAGCACAAAGGTATGAATTAATATTTTCGTAGCCGTTAAGTTTTTTTGGGTGCTTAGCGAATACTTTAAGTTTACCCATTTTCATGCGCCTAATATGTCGAAGATCGTGCTACTTCATAGACTATATGTCCCACACACACCATCCCACACTTATCAGATAGTGAGTGATTATAGTTTAATTACATTAATAAACCTCAGCTTTAATAAATGTCCCTCTTTTGTGCTGGCGTGGTGAATTTTGTGTATTCACCGCTTTAAGGCAGCTTGCAAAACTTTAATATTTTCCACAAACTTGTTGAAGAATTTTGAAAAGCTTTGCTGGCTTTACTTCATGGCAACTTTGATAGGTTTATTGAATCTAATGGCTGAAGCTGGGCCGTTTTAATCGAGCTGAGCTATTTTAATCGATTGTACTATTTTGTCGCACTCTTTCTTTAAATATCTATTGTTGCACGTGGAATGAAGGAAAATTGATTTCTAGTTTTATTATTTCGCGGGCAAGAAATTATGCATGCCATCAACTCACTGTTCGTTAAAAGTAACTCGATAACGAGAACCGTCAATCCAAAATGGACAGTTACGTTCGAAAAAGCCCGATATTGGGACTCCTGAATGTATAGGAGAAAGAGGGAGAGAGAGAGAGAGATAGAGAACAATTTTTCTATTTTTTTTCTTTCATAGATTATGTAGGGAAGGAAATGTGCGGTTTTTCCGTTCAATTATTTATGCTGCAAAATTATGAAAGGCCTATTATGTCTTAAGCACCTTACAGATGCAGAACAGTAACTAAATATGACAATAAGCTGGGAAATTTTTGTGTGCATTATCTCTCGTGCATCCACTTTTATACAAGTGAAATAGTTATACCCTATACAACTTAAAGTATAACAATTATATTACATTAAGCTTGCACCGATGTATGCAACGGAAGCGGTGACAGGGTCGCGTTTCATACCGATCGATTTCGAATCATACTCTGAAACGATCTAAGCTTTTCTGTCCCTCCGTCCATTCTTACGCTCAACATGCAGGTCGCAACAATGAAGTTCGATACAACGGCGTATTTTAACCCAAGAAAAAACTCTTCAAATAAATTGGGATCGGACAACTTCTCATGTAAAGCCTCATTTTGAAAGTTCGATACATGAATACCTGGATGGTATTTAATGGTGGGCTGTAGCCCACTATAACATTTGTGCTAGTTTTATATCAATACAATTGAGAGAAAACGAATGAAGTTTTTCTTTTTTCTATCCAACCCAATGTGCAAGGGAAAATAGTCTTTCTGTAATTTCCCCGAAAAACTTAAGAAAAACATTCTAATCATTTTTTTTTTTTTGCCTTAGATACCATCCATCTAAAGATTATTCGCAAAGATCAAGAACTGAAAGTCTACGGTGCGTATACGTCTTATATATAATGCATTTTCTAATAAAATAGTAAAATTCAATCATTTTTTGCACATAATTATTATATATAAATGTGCATGATATGTTATTGTTTTTATTCAATTAAAAAAATAGGAAATAAAAACATGTGGCACATAGTTTTTAAAAAAAATATTTACTAAGCGATTTGTACTACTACTATTTTTGTACTTTGTACGAATTTATATAATTTTATACACAAGTCTATGTACACGTAGGTGTAAATGTAACTAAATAATATTGCACAGATACAGATGTAAGTAAAAAATCTGCTTTTTGCAAAACTTTCTCATTCAAAGGGTGTTTCAAAAAGAGCGGCCATTTAGGTTTAATACTCTCTTTTGTCTTTATTTAAGCGCATTTTTAAATATTTAAGAATAACGTTTTAAATGGGTTAAAAAAATCAATTTTTCATTGTTTGTGGTTACTGACACGCATACGTTACACTAATTAAAACTAACATTATGCACCCGTGTAAATATTTTTTCACTTAAGTCAATATTTTCAAAAGATGCTACGCTCATCACTGGATATTGAATATGTTTTCAAAATTGTTTTTATTATTATTATTATCATTTAACCGGAGAGGCAAGTTCTAAGACTAAATTCTTAAAGCACTAGCACAAAAAGCTAACGGCTTTATTGAAAACCCTATCCCATTTGAGATTTAAACTCACTAATATTTAGTTATTAGTCGAGAATCTTTGCCTACTGGGCCATTCAAAGGCTATGAGAAAAAATATTTTTTTACCAGAACATTAATAACTGCAAAAAATTTGTTTCAATAACCTGATCGATCTTTCATAAATAAAATCGATAAATTGACTTCTAGTTTTGTGCTAATAAAGTAACTTCCACATAACTTATCCTGGGCTTCTAATTGCTTATGATAATTAGGTATAGATTTTCTGTACCTAAATCTTTAATCTGTTTACGTTGAAAACAAAAAAAAAATAAATTAAGATTTGATTATATTAAACATTTCAATGTCAGTTGTGCAAATCCCTGCCAGACCAGATTATTCTATATATGAGGGGTAAATACATTTCATTAAATGCTTTATCAAACTTGTGTGATGACATTTTGAATGCTTAAATAGTTTATGAGCCGCACTAACCCGTTCAGAACGTTCAGTCAGATAACTGTATCGAACTCTTTAGCGGTGCTCTCGTATACTTGTCAAACAAATAGTATGTGTAATGAGGGGTTAGGTTGTCATCAAGCGGTTTGATAATATTATAAAAATATATTCTAAGATATAATAAAAAAATAATATCTAATTGTTATGGCAAATACACATTTATGGTTAAAAATATCGCGCAATAATTAATAAAGCAGGTATTAATCAGCATTCACCAGTTCACGAAACTTTAAAGTTTGGCTTGCGGGCTCATCTTGCAGGATCCGAAGCTTTTAAGGGAATTCGTATGGTTTTTTTAAAACACTGCGACACGGACACTTATTTCAAAGAGTTCCCTCAATCTTCTTTTCGAAAGCAATGGTGCGATACAAGACAATTTCAGCTTTAAGCACTTAAGTGATCATGCAACACCAAAAGCGTGTTAGTCACTTGAGCCATCACTCGCGACTTCAGATTTCAGGTGCAGTAGACCTTACTTTGGTCATAGCTGCAGCGATTGCTTATTTGGTGAAAACATATAGGCAGTTACCGATTGGGCAAACGCCTATTAGGCTGCGTCCACTATCTCATAAACTCTCTCGTTTTCCTTACTTCATCCTGCCTATCGCTAAATAGGAGACATATCCTGATTGATAATCGTGGTAATGTTCAAGTGCGCTTGCATTTAAGCCAAACGATGATCTCTCTATTATTTCGCTAAGTTCAACTGACCCCACGCGAAAATTGCAATAGATGTCTCTTAGATAATTGCACTAATCCGGCAGACGCATAATTCGTTAAACACATTGACGAGTTCTTTATACTTCCTAGTCGAGACGAAACTTCCCCTTAAAAGGAAATCAAAATAAATTTTCATAGTAAAATGTTCGTTTACCGTGCCCAAGAGAAGTCAGCAGAGAAACGTTAAGCAAATTTTATCATACAATAGAGTGTTTATATTAGTAGGTATCGGGTTTAATTTGAGACATTCTTTATACAGGATGATGATATGATTTTTCATTTTTGCTTGCTAATCCTTTATTGACATGTTTGTTATGTAAAAGAATTATGATTATCATGTTTTTTTGGGTTCTTCTTCTATAGATTTTTATTTATTTATTTTCTCCTGTTACTTTTTTATTCTAATAAACATTGTATGCGCATTCGTAAACGCTTCTTTCCGTTGCCGTTTTTATTACATATATATATATATATATATTTATATTTACTTGTACATTTATCTTATTTATTTTTTTAGATTAACCTCAGCAAGTCCTTCACCACTTATGAATGTAGAATAAAGTCCTTTGTTCTAATTGTTATAATATCCAAGATACCCACCGATTTAGTTGATAACCGTAGATGTATGAGTATTATTTAATAAAGAATTTATGTAAATGCATATGTTGCTATGATCACAAGAAGCCTTGGTTATTAAAAAATAAGTTTTTTAAATTCTCTTCTTCTTCTTCTTTAGCACTGAAGAATATTACATCTGTATGCGTCCTTAGCAGAGTGGACCTTGCAATATCAATCAACAATCCTACTGTACAGCCACTGTCTTTGTTTAATTACAGTATAAACAAAATTTGACGCTCATGAAGTGAATATACAATTTGAAATGTAAAAAACTTTAAACGACCTTAATTGTCAATAATTTTAATAAAAAAATATCAAACTTCCAAAAAAAAAAAACAGCCTTCTTTGGTAGAATCTTTGAGCATAGTAATATCGCACACTAAGCTCTTTATTGCCTTACATTGTCCTTGTGCAAATAAAGTTGGAAATAAAATTAAGCGAATTTTAAAAACGAAATGTCCGACCTCTATAAGGGTCGGATGCAAAGAAAAATATGCATTTGATCAATATCAATGATAACTGCAAGAGAAAGAAGAGGTCAAAAAACTTTCGATGCCACTAATATACATCGAAATATGGGGTCGTTTGTTTGGTAATGAGTACAATGTTCGCTTTGGGCCACTTATGAATGAATTCGAAAATTGTATGGTCGAGCGAAAAGAACGTCCAGCATCAGTAGTGCGCGAGCGTATCTATTTGATTTCCATAAATGATTATTGGCATCGCGTGAGAGTTGAAGAGTTGGATTAGGACAAGGGTACTGCTCTATGCTTCTTTATCCATTTCGGAGATACTAATTGCTTACCCGTGGATCAACTTTAGATTTGCGAAGCTAACTGCTTATGTTTGCTCGCCCAGGCAGTACCGTTTTCTTTATGTGGCTTAGCACACTTTGAGCAAAATCCCTTTGCATGCAAGCTCTTGGATGAGCTTTTGCCTACTAAATCTGTAGTCGGAAAGATATTCACCAAGGAAGAGGAGTTCAACGCAGCCAATTTAAATCGTGCAGTAAAATACAAGTCGTTACGTTTGACACTTCCACCCAAGACGATATCAACCTAAATCATCTTCTGTTGGATAACTTTTGCAATAATACGCCAGCACCTGAAATGAGAAAACATACGGTAAACAATGTCTTAGTAACGCAAATTCCGCTGACTCCATATTACAAAGCATGAGAATTTTTTCGTAAGTATGTACCTATACTTACGAAAACTGAACATTTACATGGTCAAAGGGGATAATTTTCAATACTTGATAGTGAAAATTGGTTCATAATAGTACATACATACATGCAGGATGCACATGCTGTATGTGATGTCAAAAAAAGAAATAAAGTGACCCTCGAAGAAAAGTGTTGATAAAGTAGAATAGCAGAGAATTTTGAATGTGTATTATAAAACATATGAATATATGTTACTTATACCATTGGATTCGTGATTAGTTTTGAAATAGTATCCTATTGTTAGCGAAAATTCTCTAACATTCTTTTCTCCATTTTAAACTTACTGCGTTAATTATCTAAATTTGAAGACTTTTTCGAGTCAAAAATTGAAAATATTTTCTTTTTAATTTATTTACAAATAAATTTTATCTAAATGTGAATTTTCTAAATTGAAATTAGTATAAATTAATCCAAGTTAACTATAAACAATTATATTTGTGTATTTGTGAATACATATTCTCTCTCTCTCTCGCTCTCTCTTAGCGGATTATGAACATAATTGTAAGCTAAAAGCGAAAATATTTCATTCAATATATATAGATGCGTTATTATATATCTTTAAAATCATAAGTACAAGCGTTTTTCTTTCTTTTTTATTATCTTACAAAAACAATAACACATTGAAAAAGGAATTTGGTTTCAATATAAAATTCAACACTAATATGATGGATTTACAATAACAAAAAAAGGCGGAAAAAGTTAAAAAGAAAGTTAACAGTATTCGAAGGATTCGTTTTTTCCTCAATTATTCTTCGTATTATATTAGGTGTGTGTTTTTAATATTTCTTTTATTTTTAACTATAAATTTACATTCTTTGAATTTATTTAAGGTCACTGATATCACTTAAACGAAACAATTATCATGTATTTATTTTACTCTATTATATTCATATATCTCACATATGAATACGTATTTATTATTACTATGATTTACCTACATGACTTATCGAGATTTTACGCTGATTAGTTTTAAGTGCTAACATTCATTGAAGTGTTGACAATGTTGCACGAAAGTTCTATTCGCGTTTCTTACTTTTTTCTTTTTAATGTTATGCAAATATTTTAAATAATATGTAATATGTTCATGATTATGTGTGCGTATATGTTATGGTTGTAGTTGGTTGCTTAATGTCTCACTTAAAAATCTTAACAAAAAAAAAAATTAATCGAGTCTATGTAATGATTTTTTTCTTATTTTTGACGAGTCCCTCTGCAAGGTTAGAATTTTTATAAGAATCATTTGAAAAGAATTTCCTAAGAGCAACGAAATGTTTTAGTGATTGATACAGTTTAATCTAAGACTTATTTCGAAATTACTAGTCTGGAATTTATTTAAAAGTTACAGCTTCGTTTTAATGGCATGATGATCTTAACGCTTTTAGATAAGTTTTTATGGGAATTCTTCAAATATTCGAAACCGTTTTTTTTCTTTTCTTTTTTGTTTTTCAATATAAAGAAAATATTCCTGGTTCTCTTACGTTTGCTTAGAAATAATGGTTGGTGTAAAACAAGTGTTTTTGTTTTCTTTTCGTCTTAAGACGAACTTTTCTTATATCCACCACCGAGAAAAATTAAAATTTGAAAACATTTCGTATACTTTGTAAGGTCTTATCTTGATAAAATTTGTTTTTCTTCTATTTTAGTTTGCTTAGCTTAAAGCCTCTTAAGTGGTGAATATAAAGGTAGAGATTTTTAAAATAATATTAAGATAAAAATTATATATGTTTGTGTATAAATTAATTGTTTCAGCTTATCTTTATTTTTAACTTAAACTAAGTCTTATAGATAATATCAAATGCATTCGCCCGGATTTCGAGCACAATATTTGGGAAATATAGGTTCAGCCTTAATCCCCAATTCTACCAACCGACTACGAAACAGTGACATACGTTTAAAAACATCTTGCGGTACAACGTCCATATCGTGTTCATCATCGGGATCTGACCATAATCTTAAATTAAGAATTTTAAAATAAAGTTTAAATTATTATACCGAGGATTTCGACAAATGATTATTTGTGCTTCATTTATTTAAGTTATCTGCAACTCCTTCAGAAAAAGAAGTAGTTGTTAGTTATACAATTGGCCTTGAAAAACCTTCTCTTTTTTTTTAAAAAAAACATCTCTAAAGTATCTGGCAACTTTCATATATCTTCACCATCATATATCGAAAATGGTTTATACATCCCATAAAATGTAAAACATGTTAACGAGGAAATAGCCGATAAATTGCGTTCGCCTTATTGTGTCGAAGAAGAGAAGATCTTAAATATAGTAATTGTTATAAATGGGAATAAATTTCTTTTATGTCAGGTTTTTCATAAAAATTTTTGAACTAGTAAAGAATATTTAAAGTTTAAAAGTTATCGCCCTACCTTACATGTTCTGTTAGTTCTGCGCAATATCGGTTTACATAAACCTATCTTTATTGAATAGTGTACTACATATATAGGTGAAATATGTTCAAAAACGCAGGTAGTTTTGTTTTTCTCGAAAAATATTTATTTGTTCATCGATATCTATTTTGTCCCCTTCAAAGTAATCCCTCTTAGATATAATATATTTGTGCCAGCAGTTTCAGTTTTGGGAAAAGGAAAAACTCGCAGCAGGTCAAGTCCGATGAATATGTATACGTACGTGCACCAACATAAAAAAAAGGAAGAAATTCAAAAATCGAATGTGCGTAGGCCATGAAATTTGAAATATATGTATGCTGTAAACAAAGGCCGCTAGGTTGAAAGAGAGCCGCAAAGATCCCATACAGCACATAGATTCTGGATCAGACTAAAATTCTGCACGTGCGTCTGCCTACGTGTTGTGTGTGGATGTGCGGTAAAAAATAAGATATTTATTTCAAATTTAGCAAGTTCTCGCATGCAGGTTGCTAATGAAAATGGTCCAAAACGCTCAAAGAATATCATCACAGTAAAGAGAAAAGTAAAAACGCCTCTGTATCCCTAAACAGAAATTTGGTCATTTGGTTTTTTGTCAACGTTCACATATTATGAAAAATATAACTCTGAAATTTCCTAAATTTATTTAACGGAGGGCCTTATTATTCATGGTTAATGGAAAAACGGTCACTCCCCCATAAAGTTATAAATGATCAAAAGACAGAATGTTCAAAATTATACTGGACATTCTGGATACAATTGTCTTCAATTGCCAAAATACCAAAATTTAGTTGCTTTACTTTTTCCATTGTAAAACTCGTAGTGCTTTACGACTAATAATAACATCGCTTTTAAGCAACTGAGCGATAGTTTGTCTTCAACTTCCGTATGGCAACTGATTCCATCGCTATCAACGAGGAACAAAAAAAAATTGTTATCCTTTCTGAAACGTTTTCAAATGACAAATTTTCTATACAATATATAAGCTAGAAAACAAAAATGGGAAGGGATATTGTCACTTTTCTTGAGTACACCTTCAATAGTGTTAAACTAATCTATAATGTTCTCCATACGAACAATAAGCGTTTTAAGCTCTTTTGGCTTCGCGTAAAATACTGACCTCTCACCCAATGCGGCAGCACGTGGCCATAACCGATTATCTAATTGGCCTTCATCGACTTGCTCAGTCCAAAGACAAACTTCACCACCCAATACCTACAAAATAAACAAATATTAATAAACGGAAGTCATCGATATAAAAGTTTTCATACTTGTCTCTTATGTAACTTGTCTAAACGCATACGTTCCCAGGGACGATGTTTATACACGTTTTGCCAAGTACGATACGGTGAACAAGCACCTTCACCTTTAACACACAAATACGGTTATGAAAAATGTCTTTAAATATTTATTTGGAGATGCTTAACTGTACCTGTGGCTCTCCAATTACCAAAACCACAATCTAAATACCAAGCGTCCACGTGAGAGAAAATAACATTAAAACCATTATCTAGTAAATCATAATTCTCTTGCCAAGAACTGGCGCCCCATACTTGCACTGCAAAATGACTTTTTGGAAGACACTTCGTGTTGGTTAAGCCGCTAGACCATACCGCGACAACTTTCGGATCGATATGATTGTTGGCGATTTTAAGGCTAAAATCAGAAATCGAGACATTACTGAAAGTAATTGCCTAAGCAATAAGGGATATTTATACCGGGCCATGGTATTTAACATAAAATCGCACCATAAGCCTCTTAGATCGGTATCGTTAAAATATTGAGACCAACATTCCAAATTAACTTCGTCACCGCCTAAATGGAAATAATCGGTGGGCCCGGTAGCGTTAAGCAATTCTTCATAGATCTTCTGTAGTATAAGATAAGTGTTATTGTTCTTAGGGTTTAATTGACCGCATGGCGGTTCACCACAATAAAAACTCCAGGGTTGTTGATTGATACAGAGACTTAGTTCTCCAAGACCATGTTTAGGACCCCAATCCCAGCCATTACCTGCATGAGCAGGCGCATCGATTTCAGGTATTATTTGAACACCGCGCAATTTTGCAAAATTTGCTACTTCACGTATCTCTTCGAGCGTATACGTCTCATGGTCCGAGTAGGCACCATAGCTAGCTAGTTCGGGATAATGCTTAGATACATAAGGAAAACTTTGAGAGTCCGTGATGTGCCAATGAAAACGATTAAGTTTTGCATGCGACATAGCGGCAATGGTGCGTTTAATAGCCTCCAATGAAAAATAATGGCGTGAAGTGTCCAACATAAGGCCTCTATAACGAAATTTCGGGCTATCAACAATTATGACTTTGGAGAGGGTGCGCAACAAATTGTCTTCATCGTCAAACCAAATTAGCTGTTGTAATGTTGACAAGGCGTGGCGTGCACCAAAAAATGTATTCGCACTAATGTGCACTCGGTAATGACGCTTCTCATCTATGGTAACGAAAAACTAATACTTAAAGTCATTTCAGATGTACAGATGAAATACTTTTAACTTACATGCCGTATTTATTTGATAGCTTTCATCGGTTTCTAAACTTAAATGCATATCGGAAAATTTATGTATGACTACATTAACAGTCAAGCTATCAATATCACATTGCTTGCGGGTACTGAATGCTCGTGATAAAATTGATGCCGCTCCAATATTTTCACCATATTGGGCATGGGAACCTTTTATTCTTTGATCTAATTGAAAACGCTTACTTCTTTGCTTATCGTTAGCAACAATCGCATTTCCTGTTAAGAGCCTTGATTGACCATCGGCATTATTTGCGCTTCGTTCTCTTTCCGTTTCTTGCTCTTGCTCGGATCTTTTCGGCAAATTCAGTCTTTGTATGTGTCTTAGATCTTTCAGAAAAAGATCAAATGCTATGCGAAAATGCTTCTCTACTCCTTTGTACGGGGTATCTAACCGTAATTGTATATCATCCATTGAGAATTTCAATGATTTCGTACTAACTGCAGTTTTGATAGTGGGTTGTGGCCATATACTTATCTCGCCACACGTCATGGAACACGTTATAAAAGGCACTCGCTTCTCACCTTTAACTACATCGGAATAATGATATCGTACGCATTTATCACCCGCACATTTATAAGTCCACTTCTTTTCAATCGGTCTAAAAAGAAACAAAAAAAGATGACATTTTTAACTTTTAAAATTGTGAAGACGAACTAAAACCATAAATCATAAATTCCTTAAGGCGTCACACCTAGTTTGTAAATATTTTGTATATTAAATAAAAGCAGCTTAAGAACTAACTAACATTAAGATATTCGAAATAGGGAGATATTTCATTTCGAATTCAAGTCTCTTTGCTGATTGGCAACGCCAATTTGATATTGTCGGTAAGTCAGGTTTAAAGCGAGTTGTAATTAGGTTTTCGATTTTTCAGGACAATACAAAAATGATGTGGTGGTAAAACATGACCTAAGGAATTAAGATTGTTTCGAAACATGTCATAAAACTACATCCGTCTGTAGGCAAGGAGTAGGCGAGTTTTCTTTGAAAAAGATTTCAATTTTTTTGACTTTGGGAAGAAGAAAATATTTGGGTAGGTGAAATGAGAAAATCAAATGTGAAAGAAAATTTTTTTTCTGCGTTTTCGCTAAAAATAAGAAAAAAATCGGATGGAAAAGTTTTCAAACGTTTCAAATGTAAGAGAGATTATGCTGAATAATATCATGCTATGCTGACGACATACTTCCTTCTGTGGATTTGTATGAAGATTATTATTGTGTGTACGTGGAGCTTTTATATCTTTTACATTTTTGCTCTAATACTCGCTTACTCGGCTATGCGTATGGCAAATGGGTTGAAAAAGGAGTTATTTGGGAATGAAATACCTTGATTGTCTGTTATCGATTCAGTTGTTATTTTTATATACCCATTTGTTTTTTCTATAATATATGTAACACCCAAAAGGAAGCTTCAGAGATCCTATAAAGTACATATATATTCTTGATTAGCTTGAAATTCTGAGCTGATTTAACCACGTTTGTGTGGCGTGGGTTGTTGGCGCTCTCGTGGTCGCAAAAAATTAAGATATCGCGTCCAAGTTTGGTAGAAACATTGGAAGTCTCTGTACGCAGGTTGGTATTGAAAATGGGCTAAATTGCTCAGAACAGAAGCGCGCATAGACTGAACGCAACCTTTTGGATTTTTGTTTGTTACTCGGAAATAATTCAAGTTACAAGGCTCAAATATTCCGCATTTTCTTCGCGAAATACTCTATTGTTTACGTGGAAAAATGAAAACAATTGGGCATGCACACACAAACTTACGAGTAATTAAACTTTACTTTTTTTCACTTTTTTGAGTTTTTCTGCTTATTTATGATAAGGGAAACAAGACAAAATGCTTGCAACTATTTTATACATTCCTCAAATGAAGATATATTACCTGCCTAAAAATGGGTTAATTTTAAAATGATACCGCGATAAATTTTTTCTTAATAATACCAGCGATATGGGTATCAAATAAAAGACCTTGGAGAGTAGAATGCGAAAAGTACGGTGGTGGGTATGCGGATTTCGGCTCTCGCCGAATGTAACTTTCTTATTTGTTTGTGTTGTAATTTTTAGTAAATTAAATTGTGAGCGTGCATTCGTCGGTATATGTCTTAATTTAAGTTTTCTTTTTTTTTCTTTTAATATCTACCAGAATTTGCTAAATAATTTCCTTAAGTTAATTTTATTAATTAGCTAAATCTAACATTAGTTTTATATAATAAAACCTTCTTTTATATTGTATTTAAAGTAATTTTTTTTGTTTTGATCCTGACTGCCGAGGTGTGCCTTGACATGCACATATACTTCTACGTAAAAGCAAATAAATTTATAGAAATTCTATGGGGTCATATTTTATTGTCGTCGACCTATAGCTCTAGGTTTTCTGCTGAGATTATTACTATTCGTTCCGCGTTAACCAAAGCAAGCTTTTGTCGTAAGACAAACAATTTATTTATAGTGTGTACCGACTCACTTCCTGCTATTGACATTATAAAACACAAACGACAGCTATCCTTTTAGCACTAGGAACATTCTATCTTCTATATTCTATACTTATGTTATTCCTCTGCAGAAATAGAGAATGGTATGTAGTCAATAAATCATAATAGGCTTTGCATTAGCAATTATTTAATGAACGGTGAAGTTCAGCGCCATTATATTATCCAAACTAATTAAATTGCGCTTAGAATACATCAAATTCAGTCATTATTACATTACATTGACAAAAATATAACCCCTTGCGTTCCTTTTTCTGTGTTCTTCAACGATTGGATTGTTTTCCATGCTTTCATCATTTAATAACTCGACTCTTCCATCATTCGTCTATCCTTCAGAATCGTTTGAATACAAGAAATTGTGCTCTACGTCTAATATGTTAAATTTTCTAAAACAATCTAAATCATGTTTGTATTTTTGTAATTGTTAATCTGCTCACATTTATGCACTTTTGCAAAACTGCTTATATAACAGTTATATACCTTACCGAATTTGAACCACCCTCAACCAGGAGGACTTAAGATAGATCTACCTTTCAGTATACTGATCGATTCAGACTCGTTTTCCGAATCGTTTTGGCCTTGTCGGTCCATCTGTCTATCAAGTTTTCTTGTATACAACCTACAGATCAGAATTTTTGGAGATATTTTGATAAAATTAAGAACACTAACGTGTTTTGTTTCAAGAACGAACGTTGTTAAGGATGGTTCAAATCGTACTACTTTTTGTTAAAGCTAGTTAATAAAATAATTGGGGTTTTGTTTGATCGTCCTTTGTGTACACCAATGCATATTGGAGACCTATATAAGGCCTTTGATTGATCTTCCCAAGTTCTATTAATACAATAAAAGAAGTGATTGTATTCTGCTGCCAACAGGGTTAAAATAAAAAGAATGTTTGTTATTTGTACTTACATTAAATTGTCTTTAAAACGAGGAGAACTTTGCGGGGATTTTTCATGTGCACTATTTAGAAATTGTGGTTTCAAAACGCTTTGATTCCAATATAAAACCAGTAGCACAAAAATAGTTACTGTTAACAAGATGAATAAGGCTTTGCGCAAAGAAACAGCTAAAGCCATTTTTACGATGTAACGTACCCTGAAACGAAGTAAAGTAATAAATCGATAGATCATGATATATGTAAAGATTATTGCTTTATTTAATATATTTCCTGTAACATAATTACATCCTAATCACAAAACAATTGAATTGCGGCACTAACTTTAGCTAAACATGCAAGAAAAACGAAAATCACTGAAGTGACCTTCAGGTGTGTCAACGTACATACAAATTATTGTGAACACACCCATACGTATAGAGAAGAACTGTAGCGAACTTCATTCATCGGTGAAAGAGAATGAGAAAAAGAGGAAGGATTTACGAATAAATTGTCATTTTATTTACGCGCTTATGTACCTACATGCATCAAATAAGAAGCTTATCGTTATGAAATTTATGTTCACTGTTTACATGAAGATAATTTAACGTAAGCATACAATCATCAGTGCAAAAAACCTCCTTTCTTGAAATTCTTGATAGAAATATAGCAACTATTTTAATTATTATCTCTTGTGGTCACCCAGGGGAGTTTAAATAGCAATGGGTGAACACATTTGTTCGTATACGAATAGCATACGAAACTTGTTACCTCTGGTGTGGAGTGCACAATTTGTTTATAAACAATTACGTGATTTCCCTAACAAAATTCATAGTTTTCAAGGGAGACGTTGAAATTTGATTTCTCTGGCCATTACTAAGAAATGTAGGTCTATTGACTTTATAATCCGGCCCTGCATTCATTCATACCAATCATTTTTAGCTTTTTGTTAGTGTCGCCGACCTACTTAAATCGATTCACAATATGACTCATACGTACGGTTCGAAACAATGCTTAGTTGAAGCCTTGTATCCTTGAATCGCGGCTACAAAGTCAGTGTTCGCGGGTCGAAATATCAAGTGCGGTAAAGATGAGTTTGCTCGTAACTATAGTGAGTGGTCAGTCAGTAAAGGCGCAACGTTTATGATTTATATACAAAACCATCAGGCTGCGGCTGCAATCTCACTACATCTTTCTCTTTCCTTACTTTTCTCTTACGGTCCGCGTGGACGTCACAGGCAAAGGGTCATACTAAAGAAAAAGTGTAATGGCAACTTCAAACACTGATGTACTCTAGAGTTCAAGCTCCGTGTTAATATCATGTAAGAAAAACGGCTTCAGTTTCTCTCTTTCAGTAACATCTTTCGGTAACATCACTAAATTAGTCGCCTGCCATCAAATATATATCTTCCCGGTTGTAAGCATTATTTAACCTGATGATTTTATCGTAACAATTGCCTCTTTTATCTAACTCATTAACGGCTTGCACGCATAAGCGGCGGTGAACACCTGCTGACAACAGCCAGCACATATCACAATATGAAAATATTTTTTTTAACAGCAAAACCCTTGGATTTTTTAGCTTTCCCGAAAGTCAAAAACGATTGGTATGGTGGCGTCTTGAAAAAAAGGTTTCGTGTATCAAATTGCTACTGACAATGGTGGTGGTGAACACATTTTCAGAATTTCAATTGCAAAAGTTCGTAGCTGTCTTTTAGTGAAGCAGCTATATCGACGGTAGTGGGAAAAACTTGATTCGAAAACGGCACAATATTCTGCGTTTCGTGGCACAAAAAGGAATCCTATGAGTTGTTGGAATGCGCGTCGGTTGCCGCTTGAATTCCATAGAAACTTTGCAGAAGCAGTTTTCGTTTTTTGTTCTAAGAAATTTAGGTTGTCCTTTACCAGTTCATGGGAGTAGGTTGCTACTTATAACCTTGCCGTCACTCAAGGAACGTAGGGTGGTATTAGGTATTACTTTCGTGGTAAAATTGATTAATGGCGCCGGTGTCGTTAAGCGAGATCAATTGTAATGTTCCTATCCGTTCGATAAGGAATTTTCTTTTTATAAAATTTAGTCGATGCCGGTCTACTGGTGACGTTATTCTTATTCTAAAATTAAAATTCTATTAATGAGCTGCGTCCACCAACATAAAGGTTCGTGTTTGATGTGAAATGATGTAATTTTTTCGTAATGTGGGGATTTGATAGTACGTTTTTTATTTCTTATATATACATATAAATTGAGTTAAAATTGTTTTAATAGATTTTCTATTTCAATTGTACTTAGCTTCAAACTTCGATTGTATGGATGGCTGAATGTTCATTGTAGCTGATTTCTGTATTTGTAAATAAATACAGATTTCTGTATAAATGTGATTTCTGTATTTTAAATAAATTTGTGGCATCACAAAGTGATCCCTTTGAAGCAGATATCGAAAACCTCCAAAGTGGGACAAGAGATACGAATGAGTGATACTGCAGAACGACAGCGCTCCGTGCCATCGCACCTGTATTGCGAGGACACCAGTAAATGGGATATGGTAGAGGACATGCCGCTTTGGCCTGAACACCTGTTTCCTCCCGTTTACTCCTTCCTGCGATCAGCAGCAGAACTTTAAACAACAACAGCCATTTAATCTCTACCATTTTTTTATGTCTCCAGACATCGTCATCACTCCTCTTGACATGTTTATAGTTGCATTGTTGTTCAATTGAAACTTTTTTATGGTCCTTTTGAAAATTCAATAAGAGGTCGTCAAGAGCGGAGGCAGTTACAACGGTGACAACACGCCTTGGTGTGATACGAATCTTGCTCATCAGGTTTTTGTAATTTCCTATTGCACCTCAGTAATGGACAAATAGCAAAGGCTGGTAGTTATGATGATTTTATCAATTTTTTTAGGTATCTTTCGAGTTTTAAATCTTCCACCGCTAAATTTTAAGACAGTATCGTTTCTATCCAAGCACTATGCCAAGTTTTAATCCCTCTCCCAAACAATGACAACAGAGCACAAAGATTGACTAGCATAACTAAATCTGCTAAGGATCAAAAATGCATATACTTAATGCGCTTTTGTGAATATTACAAAGCGAAACACAGCCCTAGTAAACCTCCCAAATTAGATGATGCATATATTTGGAACCGACGCTGATTTATGGATTTTTGAGTTATTTTTAAGTGTTGGTTGGCTGAATAGAACTCACTGCATTGTTAGTACAACGAAACACTTCAAAAGAAAGGTCTTATGTTAGGCCAGAGAAACATCTCACAGCATTTTAAACAATAGATGGCTTTAGGCGTAACTGTGATATCGTTAACATTAATAACCCATACTGTAGCATGTGCGAAAGGCTATAGAAGTTGAATCATAATTCTGAAAACATTCGCTGTGTTCCCGATAACTCTTCGAACAATTGTAAAAAAATTTTTAATTCTTATGGGAAAGCATAATTTTATCGAAATCAACAGCATACAAGTATTCTGCCTGTTGCCGCTCCGGAAAACTCAATATTAACAACGGATAGCGCATTTGTGAAGTTATTACATTATTCAGTTGTAGAAGTTCTTAAAAAATTAAAAAAAGGTTTGATCTTACGACATTGCTGCACAATTAAAATTTGACAAAAAACAGTTTGAATCATTTGCATAAGGCTGGATCCAAAAAAAAGTTGGATTCGGAGGTACCATATCAATTAATAATTCGAAATATAAATTAAGTCGAACTTCCGTTTACAAAGCAATGTTGCAACGAGAAGCTGTTGAGATCTCTTTAAAAAATTGGAATGGGTCTGTGAAAAGCGGATCATATACGAAAATAACTTACGAACAAATCGTAGTTCAACGTTGTAGTGAACGTTGACTGACTGAAAGGCGACGCAGTTTGGATTAATGGCACATCAGAAAGTGCCTTGTGTTTAATGGGGAAGAGGGTGAGTTGATCGTGCATCACAAGCTCCAGCAACCTCGGTCAGACGATTGAATCTACTCTCTACTATCAACAACAAAAGCGCGGGATTCACCGTCGCGTCTGTATGAAAATGCATAAAACTTTAGTGACTCGGCAAAGATTAAGAGAGCTTGGCTGAGTTAGCTTTTAAAAAATGTGATTGGATCTGGGTGAAAAACACCAAGAACTTTTTCGTTAACCCCTCTTCTTATTATTAAAGAAATTCTTACCATTGTGAATGGAAGAGAGTGTTTCTTGGACGCGTCATCAATCAAACGAAAGACATTTTCAAGTTCTTAAAGGCATCGTTAATATTCAATTATGAGTCACTTGAACGTAAATTTCCCTTCTTTTATTTATTTATTTATTTAATTTTTTTTATTCTTTGTTAAGATGTCAAGTAAAAGAAACGTCCTGTAAAGCACGAACAATGAACAATGTATGTGTGAATTCTTACTTGCTAGTAAACATCGTTTGTACAACAGTTTCATTACAAACAATTGCCATGTATGTATGTAAAGCATGTAAGTATGGTTAGGAAAGTTTCAATTCAACGCAAATCTCAACTAATGAAACACAATCAGTGCATTCTCTCTTATCTTATTGCACGGCGCGATCATTCGATTTCCGTTTTGGAGCCATCCTTGCTATCCTTAAGACTACAATTTACTTAGATTTTGTTTTTTTTTTTTGCCATTTTTAACGAGATTCAGTTTAATTCAAATAATCTTTAATTTTTTTTTTTTTTGGATGATATCTGTATCGAGTAAACCCATTTTAGTTATAGAAAAATGTAACGCAACACTGTGTTTTTAATTTTTTTTGTTTACTTGTTTTATTATTAGTTACACAATTTTTATACACATATGCGATTCTAATAACTATCCGGTATTACTAATCAACAGGACAATTAACACAACTGTCATTTACTGCAAGATGTCTGCACAAAGCTATGTTTATGAAATCGCACGAGTGCTTTATTGTATCTGAAAACATAAAGCATACGAACAGCGACCGTTTTATTATGCGATCAGGATACGAATGTAACGAATAAATAATATTTTCATGCATCGATGGGAAAATTTACATATACACATATACATATATATGCATATATTTTTACCGTATACGTGTATATGTATGTCTAGTATCTATAGTTACCATTACCTATGTGAGTAATTAAATACATTGCAAATAATAGTTTAAATATATTTAATAATACATAAATCGCTATCAAGCAAACCGCAGTCTGCTAGCGTGTCACTATTAAGAATTATTTTCTACTTGAGAATCTGAGAATATTAAAGCATTAGTCATGTGTCTGACCTATTTTTTTTTTTTTTTTTTTTTTTTTTTTTAGCAAATTAATCAAGCCTACCCTAATACGTCTTAATTGCTTTAAATATGCTTGGGGAAGTCGAAGTTTCTTAACCGTATTATTTTTAAAGGCATACATATATAAATATACTTATATATATTTTTTTTACCCTAAAATATATTTTTAACCTTTTAGAATGTAGGGAAATAGTTCATTAGCTGGAAGTATTTGTTCCTTGAAAATTCGAGTTTTTCCCGAGGGTCGATTGCTAAGTACAGGAGCTAAAAACGCTAAGACGCTGAAAGCGATTCCAGTGAATACAAGTACTATTGCCAAGCAATTAAAAGTTTTGGATACATTTTGGGATGAGTTTTTCTGTTTCTGTAATGTTAGCTATGAACTCGACTATAGAATAATAAATTTTTATTCCATTTCCTTTGTCACTTCGCACCACGTACAATGTAAAAGGTGCGATTCCGTTTTTGACGGATGCAGTAGAAGATGCATTTTTGAGCAAAATATCTTCGTAGATAGAGAATGAGGAGGAATATTTAAACATGAAGGAATAGGTTTATGGTGTTGGCGGTTTGCAGATTAGTGAAAACAAAATAGCAAAACGTTTATTATATTATACTAAATAAACATGCCTACTACGCATTGCAAGACACTAAAGCCATTTTTTTTACACTTCTCCTCCTAAAACTGCAATGCAATGGATATGTACATTAAGCAATTTTTTTTTATACACATTACCGAGAGATGAGGTTTCATCTCATTGTTCATTTTTTCAAAACGCCCAGAAGAAAGCTTTAAAGATCCCACAAAGTAGTTATATTCTTGATCAGCATCAAATTGTGAATCGGCGTGACCGGAAAAATGAATCTATCGACTTCAAATTGGGCAAAACCATTGAAAATTCTTGTATGCAAATTGGTATTGAAAGCGGCCGAAGGGACACACAAGATGAGCGGAGAACATTTCTGTTTATGAAATCAAAACAATTACTCACTACTCATAATCCGAAATAGAGGTAACAATAAAAGCTGTCACAAGTACTCTAAAAACGATCCGATAATATCAGTACTTTGTTTTTTTTTCCACAAAAAAAGTGGCGGGTATAACCGACGGGGCCGTAGACGAATGTAATTTCCGTACTTTTTCGATGTTGCCATGGGAAGGATAAGGCTTTGTTGTAAGATTTGTGTATACAGATATTTGGAACTATAATATAGTAAAGCTTCATGTGTTCAATATTACTTGTTTTTGAATTAATCTTCTTTTTTTTTTACTTCTGTAATAATGATTCAGGGCTTTCGGAACCTTGCTCTAACGCTCTTGTGTCCTCCATTTGAACAATTAGTGCTGACTAGTCGATAATTTCAAGAGGTGTCAGTTCAATTTGATTGATTGTCAGACAAGAATGTTATTTATGGCTTCTGTCCTTTCAAGAAAGCGAGAGAAATTGAAATAGAGACAGTGAGACAGAGAAACGAAGAAAGAGCTGGTGGGGGGAGATAGATTAGAAATCTTTTTAAATCTACTGAAATTCTGACATTTAGTTAGGTTATGTGAACCCCTACACTTCAGTCCTTTTTGTAACCACCTTTGAAAGATGGGGTATAGTCATTTTGCCGCAATGTTTGGACCACCCAAATGGATTTTCAGAGATACTATAATACTATACATATTCTTGATCAGCTTGAAATTCTGAATTGATCTAGCAATACCTGTCCCTCTCTGTGGTGTATTGTTGGCACTCTAGGTAAAAACCTTGAGAGTTTTTACACACAGTTTGGTATTGAAAAGGGGCCAAATTGATCCGCATGACTAGGCGAGTAGGTAAGAATCACGGTTACCATGTCTGTCTTCCGAAGTTCGAATCCCAAGTGCTCAATTGATAAGAACATAACACTTTCCGATTGACCATACACCCCTCAGGCTGCGACCACCGTTCTCATTCTCTTTTCTTATTACTTTCTGGCCGCCATCGTGTGATAAGCGTAGAGGATATCCCCTGAATCACTGTCCACATTAAAGAAAGGAAAAAAAAATTGGTCAAAGGGCACATGGCATGGTGAATACATGGCGATCTCATTAGTCCCGGTTGGCAATTGTCTCAAAGTTCAGTTTATATTTTCAATGTTGAAGACAATGGCACACTTAGATTGTAGTCCCTAATAGGACACACTTTAACGTCAAATTGGGAATCATTTTTACTCGTTCGCGGATCCCGGCAGTTTATACAAACATTGATTGCTTCTTCAAACACCCAATTAGAATATAAATCGCAAGGACTACGTGAATATAAGAATACAATTGTGTTAAAATTATTATTCGGTGTCAAGAATTGCTATGTGAGTAAATAATGGCAACATTAGAGTTTTTTGCTCTTTTCTCCTCCACGATAAAAGCTAAACTTTATTCGGTAAATTTTGAAAATACCAAAACAAGGAAATTACACAGTGAATCAGTTAATCTGTGAAAAGTAACAGTTTCTATGTTTGTTCGATAGTAGTACAAAATATTTAATTGGTTTACCAACTTCGAGAGCAGTACCTTTTTCCAACAGTTTTTTAAATAAACTCAAGCATACTACCGACTGAATCATATTCTTTACATGTTTTGTTTGTGCGTTATAGCAGGAAAGTTATCAGAAATAGTAAAAGAAGTTCCCTTTTCCATTACGATGTAAACGGCAATTTCTTCAATCTTTCAATTTCGAAAATGGTTTCATAAACTTCGTCTTCCATGCTTTGTTGTTATGTAGATCTAGTATTCAATTATACGATTTTTTTCGATTAGATGGCAAGTTGAGCGAGTTTGGCCATAGTCCTCCGAAATTCTTTCTTTATTTCTTTACAAATGTAGAGAATATATCGAACTTATGTAACTATATCGGCAATCGAACATAAATATATATAAAATATGAAAACTGTTGCGCCTTTTGCGCCTTTCTAGAATGGCTTTTTTCACTTTGGCCAGTGAAAAAACAGAAAGAAGTAAAAATACTATGCGCATGGCCCAGCATTGAAAACCGTACGCCAGCTATTCATATAAAGACTTTTCAAAATATAACCTTATGTAGGAAGTAGCTGAAAAAGTGGTCCGATTCGAAATATTGTCAATAGCATTCGTGTTTTGGGGCAGAACATACTGGTGTACCAAATTTCATCAAAATATTTCAAAAATTGCCAACTGTAAGCAAGATCGGCAGACGTACTGACAAGCTCGCAGCGATTCGGAAAGTGATTCCGAATCAATCGGTATAAGTAAAGGTAATAGTAAAGGTTGTATCTCAAGTCCTGGTGTTGTATACATCCGCTCTAGTTTAATATTTAAAAATGACATAAAAATTAAAACAATATTCACGGTATAACCTTAAAAGGAATAAAGATGAGTGAAGCGTCTTTTTTTTAACAAAACAAAATGTTGTATTAATAAAAGCTATTCTCTGGATTACGACCAAATTGCATTAACATAAAAAAAATAAATAAATAAAAGAATAACAAAAAGAACGAATAATGCCTAAAAATTTCCTTTTTATGAAGCGTCTTCCATAGAATGAATTAATATATAAGCTGATTATTGTGTATCTACCTCAACGAGAATTGAAATGAACGGAACAAAATTGTAAGATGGCCTTGTTATGGAACTAAGCATACAGTTCGAGTACATGTATACTCTAATGGAAAGAAGGCCTATGTACAGCTTTCGACGAATCTGTGATATGCACTATCGGGAAAGACATGAAAAATTTAAAGGAAAGAAAGATTCTTTAACTAAAATGAATTTATCTTTTGAATAATATATTTATTCGCTTTGTTTAAATCAAGGATAATATAAAAGTAATAATAGTTGTGTTACCTACCTGCACAGCACTTTAATAAGGTTATAATGAAAGCTTAGGTGAATGTAAAGGAATGCATATAAAAATAAAAAGTACACATGACGTTCATTTTCTTGCCATACACAGTCGACCCTATCGTATGTTCGTGGTGTTTTCGTCTATTCCATATGTACATTACTGAAAGCCGGAAAAGCATATGTTGTTGTACTTTTTTATTTATTTTTATTTATTTATTTATTTATTTTTTTTGTTAAAAATGCAATAGTAACAGGCGCTCATTATTGTAGAAAAGAAGGTTAAAAGTAGAAGACTGAAAAGGAGAACGTATGCAATATTTATAACACATACAAATAAAAGAAACATTGCGATAACATTGTAATACAACAATAACTTTTATTGGTAAGATTGTTGTCGTGATTCCTATTCTATGTAGCATAGTATACACACAGTACTGCACGGCATGGCATGGTCGGATTGATTGGTTGCTGCTTACCAAGCGGAACATATCTATGGCGCACGTGTACAAATTGAAGCAGACGAAATGAATTTCTACGAATTGTTACTACCTTACATACACAAAGAGCACGGTATCTACATATAATTTTACATTTACATACATAGAAAGTGACTTTCGTAACGTTTTATTTGAAGAAAGGACGTTTAAAGGAAACACACAACACAGTCTGCATTGGTATGAAAATAAAATACTTGTAGAAGAGTTGAAAAATGAAAAAAAATGAAAAAGGAAAAATGCATTCAAAAGCTAAATAAGTCGAAGAGAATGTTAACAACATTTAGTTCTGAAAGTGAAAGCATATTGTTAGGACGACTTGTACTATTTGTTCGTAGGTGAAGAAAGGAGAATAAATAGTAATAAAATTGTTTCTATAACTATTCCCGCTATGAACAGAAAATTTCTTTCCCACTTGTAATAAAATGTTTCTGAAGGAGAAAAGAAGCCTTTTTTTTTATCAACTATGTAATGTTGATCATTACATCGTGCCGTAGTCATTAAGTGAGGTGTGTTTCAATATAACCAGAAAAAAAGAAAAAATTTTTTTTTCAATTCTAATTTTCTGCATTCAATAATAATGGTGGTTTAGGCGCAGGTCTATTTTACGTGTATTTCCATTTAGCTAAAAACCATAACACAAATCTAGAGTCTAGTGTCTAACAAGTCCTTAAATCCTAAGGCATATCATTCATTGTCTTGTCTCTCGCTGAAATCAGTTCGAATGTGTTAATTGGTGAACGAGGTTGAAATTGATTTCAAATTCAAGCATTTAAATGTTATGCAAGAATTTTTTCAGAAGTGTAAGAAGAGAAAATAAAACATATAAAGGTTGAAAAAATGTGTATACGAGCACGGATATTAAGAAAAATTACAACTAATTGTGATAACTAAACGCAATATAGCTTATAAATATATTTAAATAATGATAATAATAATAAAATGTGAATCAAAATTATTAAAAATTGCTCTGCTTTAACACAAATCTTGCATATTCAACATTTTTAGCATTTTTTTGTTTCTTTGTGGAAATATCAATTATTCGATAAGTGCTTTTAACATAAAACTCATATATTGCAGTGAAATTTCGAATTAAAATACGGGCGTTCCATTTCTCCAGGTTGATTTTAAGTCATACAGCCACAAATCAAGGATCTTTCCTCAAGAGTACACTGTCGTCGTTTGCTTTTACTGAGATTAAGATTAGGTTCCAAGCCGACGTATTCAGAAATTTCAATTGGACGGATTTGCTATCAAAGTCAACATTTGCTATGAAGATCAAACCAAAAATATAGGGCAAAGTTTACATTTTCTCTCAAAGTCTATCACTGATACCAAAGATTACATTTTCTCTCAAAGTCTACATTTATTATCAAAGTTTACATTTTCTGTCAAATTCGCAATTGGCTTTGAAAGTCTACTCTTTAATCTCACTATACCAAATCAATCTTTGCGGTCTCGAATCTCGAGTAGGGTAAAGCTTATTTTGGTCGCAATTATAGTGAACGCTTAGTTTGTAAGGGCACTGCTGTTATAAATTGAGTACTAAGCTACGTCCAGCTTTTATCTCTTTTCCAACTTCTTTCTGGCCATGACTACGTTACACGAGTAGGACACACAGCTTTAATAATTGGTCATATTAAAGAAAAAATAACCGTTTTAATAAAGTCCGCTTATTATGCCCTATTAATAAATGAATAATTTAATGTATTAAAAGATTATAAGCATTTCTTAATGCTTCCGTATGAATACCAAAGTAACGAAATGTAATGAGCAAGGAGAATATTGCGGCTCTAGCTGAAATTGACGAACATAGGTCATTCTCAAAAGAAGACAAATCTGCCTGCATTATGTGACGTATTTTTTTCGACAAATTGAATTAATAGTATGTCTTCATCAAATAGATGAAAGAAACAGATTGGTAAAAGCAAAAATTGGTGAAACAAAGCGCGTTTCCTGTAATTTCGAATAATAAAACGATTATTGTACTCAAACTTTTAAGCGTGTGAAAGACTAAACTGTACTATGTGAAATTTTCATTTAAGTATTTTGAAAATTCGTCCTTTAAGGTGTGGTTGTCAAAGATCGCTTAGAAAAAAAGGTGTCTTCGCGGCGGCCAATATGAGATATTTATTCATGAGATATTTATCTATACATAAGCAATCATATATTTCCTGTTAGATCAGTGCGTTTCGTGAATAAACAAAGTATTTAGTATGAAAGTGGAAAATTGCACGCAAAAGATACAATTCGTTTTCAAATCAACACCAACTACTGGATATATAAAAATTGGTTAAAAAGATTGGTCCAACTATCTCTTCGACTGCCTTTGAAACTTTCGCAGTTGCGGAGATTGTTAGTGAACAGATTTAAATGAAGTAGCAGAAGGCATGCAGATGTATATAGTCGAGTTCTAAAAAATTATTTTTTTCTTTTTGTAAAAATAACTAATCCTTCTAGCCAACTAGCATTTACAAAACCAATTTTTGGCCCGAGTTGGTGACACGACTCGGATCTCGACTAGCAACTAGCAACTCAGTGGTCGTGGGTTCAAATGTCAAGTACGATAAACTTTTCAAGCAAGTCGAAAGCCTTAGATGCTGGCAAAAGTAGTTATAATAATAATGATAATGATAATAAATGATTTAAGCATTATTTTTCCCTTAAAGTCGGCCGGAAAAGTTCTTATAAGCAGCACCTTAATGTGGACAATAAAAAGCTTTAATGTTATATTAATTTAAATAAGTGTTATTTTAACACTTAAAGTGGAGAATAATTACTCCTACTCTTCGATTTATTGTTATTGTTGTTGATAGAAAAAATGTAATCTATGACATCATGAAATTGGAAAATATTTAAAAAGTTTTTTGCTCCTTCACGTAGAGCATAGCCTTTGTTTGCTTTTACAAACTTTCGTTGACCTTTAGCTAACTATATTTTGTTAAATATTATGACGGACATACCTTGTCAGCCAATAATTGAGGTTCTTATTATACAAAGAAAAAACCAACAAACAAGAATAATTTTAATAAGTGCAACTAAATAATCGACTTTTGTTTGGCGTTCAGAACCGCCTATTTATATAACCTCTAATACACAATAAGAGAAGCGAGCTTATCTACTTATTAAAAATCTTCCTTAAAATATTAAATTTAAATATAAAAGAAACAAACAAAATCTCAAGCGAGATGAAAATCAATAAAAAGAAAATTAAAGGAAAATATGACAATTAATTCTAATAACTAGAATGTCCTTAAAGCGTTTTTTAATTTTGACTACTGCTGTCAATATTCTTAAGCGAAACGATAATAAGAACGACAGCGACAGCAATTTCAATAAACGAAATACAACAACATCAACACCAATAGAAACAATACTTCAAACTATGAGATTTGCAGAAGGCACACTGGAACCGATACCTCTACAAGATTACGAAAAAGATATACGAAATCAAAATATTGCTTCAACACCAGAAGTGACTACAACAGAACAAAAAACCGCTAAATTAGTTAGTTATGCACACGACAATTACACTTTTGCGCCTGCTATCGCCAGTAATGTCAGTTACGTAGATGATGATGATGATGATGATGATGATGTGGAAGTAAGGGGTAGTGGTGCTAATAGTAACAATAGTGAAGGTATTCGTAACTATGGCGCTCCGATTACTACAACATACTATGGCAGTGGGTTTGGTATTTTTCACCAACAAACAATTCGTTCGAATGGTGGTGGCATAGCGTTAGTAACAGGCAGCGGCAGCGGTGTCAATGTTAATACGTACGCTCACGGTGTTAACACGAATGTTAATCTTCTTTTAGGAGGGTAAGTTTGAATAAATTTATTAAAATTAAAATAATAGAATTCCACTTCTCTATGTCGAAAATTCTTTCTTTGCTTTCTAAGTACATCCGTCATCTATTTATGTTCAAATACGTAAATAAATGAAAATATTTTTAAAAGTACTTTTCGCTTTTTTTCTATTCACTATTTAACATTGAAGATAGAGGCTATGTTTAAAAATCTTAAAGCCTAAAATACAAAATTGTTATTTAATTTTTACAGCAGGTTTTTACGTGGGTTTCAATTTTTGGCCTACACTTCAAAACATCAAGTGTAGGTTATTCAGTGAGGTTTTAGTTATACGTAAAATTCTAAGAGTTATACGCACAACCCCAGAGTACATTTGTGGTTAAGTGTGTAAGAGCACGGTAACAAAAATTTTGAAAAGAAAAAGAGAAGGTATTGGACAGAGTACCTGTCACCATTTATGGAGGAAAAGAAATTCGAGTAGAAAATGTCTATTATTGGTTAAGGGTTTACTACCTCTGACAGAGCCAGGCTATGCAACAGTTCTCCGCGTTCGACTAGGCAAGCGATGTAAAGCTGTCTGCGTTGAACGCGCTATTTACTGATTTATGTCCCTATATTATATACTGCATATTATGTATTGTGTTGACTTGCGATTATTTAGGCAGACAGAAAATGAAGAATTATTAATTTTGTGTTTAGTTAAAGCACGTAAATTGCTTTTTCTTTCCCAGCTTTCACTACAGTTCTTTTACCGCACGACAGAGTTTTACGTGTTAATTACTTGTTCCGAAGTTGGACGGAAACTAATTGCAGATGTCTTGCCCACTAGGTATGATCAAATGTTTTATTTTTCGTGCCATATGTTCTGCGGATCTCCTAAAACAATTTTTCATCCCGCCTTGGCAGTTTGGAAAGACTATTACAGGAGTTTTACGTTGGTTCTGATGGGTCTACGTCAAGGGAAAAGCGGTTGATCTGTATGGAAATTACGTTTCGAATGAGCGCTTCACGCAAAGAAAGCAAAAATGTTAGTTAGGCCTTCATCACGTTCATACTAAGCGCCTCCCCTGGCACTGAGGAATTGATCACCTGCGGGACGATGAGTGACATAATCTCATTCTATTCGCCATTGGACATCGTAGTATTAAGTCATCCGCGTTAAATCGGATATATCGGACCCAACTAAGTAATGATACCATTGATATTCAGCTTTGTCCCAAATCGCTCTGCACCAGTATATTCCGGGCTTCAAATTATCTTAGAAATTCCATTTCATATCTTCCATGCCCATGCAAGTCTTTTATCTTTATATTTGTTTACATTTCACATTTGAAAAGTCGTTGCATCTTCACTACAATTTTTATCAAACCCAATTTGTTTTTTTCTGAGAATTACCTCGCCAGTCTTTAAATGCCTAAATTCGGTTGATCGATTAATGTTTAATGATTCTACAAATTTTTCTGTGTTCCAATGCTTTAAATGGAACTCTCTTTGTGATGCTGATGATATGTAAATATCACGGACGCCTGTGCATATTTCATCGATGAAGCTTTCTATAGCGTGCTATCGTATGAAGTTTTAAGATGGTGTAATGGTTAGGTTCTTTTGTGGATACCGTTTAAAGAGAAAAGTTCTTATCAGAAAACGTATCTTTTCGATGAAATCTCTCTATTGATTGTCATTCCACACAGTCATCGATCAGCCAATCTGGATTTAAATTTCCGCATAAATACTTAAATTGTCCTGCTTGATAAGATGTAAAAAACACCTACTCTTGCCATGAAGTCTTAAATTTCACTCTAAGATATAAAACACTTCTTGCTCCTTTTTTAATTGGAAATGCTCTCATTCTCTTGCTTTACATCAAAGTAAAAAGAAAAGCATAGAATTTGGTATAATATGCTTTTTTTTCATGTTAAAAATCAGTAAAATGTTTTATCGTCGGCGACTTGGCTTAGATTAGAGTAGCTGATCTTTCATAGCAGTTGATTAAGAATTTTATGCTCCTATCAAACAGTGTCCGTATGGTTATGTGCGCTTACTAAGACAAAGACTTTTATTGCTGCATTTAGTTGCGGATATATAACACTTTGCACATTTCTTCATGGCAGCGTCATAATATCTGAAAAATATAAAGTAAATTTTTCAAAACTGACAATCAACTCTCATTTCTCAAATTGTTTACTTTTCAGTGAGCAGCGTCTCCATTTAATTAGGTTTTGCTGACGCCTTCATCTTTTTCAGTTATAGAGTAGCAAGGAATTCTCGTTTATTATTAGTTAAGAGGTTTATTTTCATATTTTTTTTGTTCTGTTAAACAATTCCTTTGATTGCTAACGTATATAGGCGTTCAGTGAACACAAGCAAGATAGAAAATATTAATGAATCTTTTTTTCGTTCGTGTTGTTCTTACTTTTCACTATTACAGAAAGTATGCAATATTTTTTATTTTTATTTACAGTGCTATGCTAACATTGATGACAACGGTACTTTGTATTGTTTGTTATTGCTGTCATCGTAGCATTAAAAAGCGTACGGAGGCTGCTTACCGACAACAACATCAATGGCTGGAAAATGATCCAAATATGGAAATTTATAGCGTCGAACAGGTAAGAAATATATATATACTTATGATATATTTATAAGCACACATTTATGTATATATATGAATATACATATGAATGTGAATGCAAGAAATTTTATTTCATAAACTTTATGGGGAAAAAGTAATTCCTGATGCATTATATAATAAGGTCTTCCTTATTATAGTACATTTTTTATCTGCGTAGGTACATATCTAAGAGAAAATTAAATGCACTTTCAATTTAATTAAACTCTACGTAGCAAGCGCTTTTAGACTTTAATGAAATCAAAGAGCAGAAAGGAAAAAAAATGTCTAAAATATGCAACACATTCATTATTCTCATCCGCCTAATGGTATTTTGTACATGTTTATGGAAATTATAACAGTTATAGGTTAGAATTATAGGCATAAGAATGATAATTGCATTTCAATAAAGTCGTAATTATTTGTTTATAATATTAAATGTTTAATTTTAGAAGATTACTTGTATAAACCATAGTAATTACGTCGTTTGGTTTTATAAATTAAACCTTTTTAAAAAATATATTATATAAAATTTGCATAATTCAAATTTTTAATTCATAAATAGTTTAAATTTTAGTGCAATCAATATCAAAAAGATTATTTCTATAATGCAAGTAAAATTTACGTACAAAAATTTTCCGCCTTAGAGTTCAAGACGAACGAATCCTATGCCGAAATCGTTTGCAAAAACTAATTCAAATTATCTATTACAGTGCTATGAAACATCCGGATTATTTTTAGCTGAATCCACAGAGGGCTTATCGGCGATGTCAACTCTTCATCATGAACCACCGCCCTCGTATGATGCTGTAGTTGCCATGCAAGAACGTCAGCAATTGTTAATGCATCAACAACAACAACAATTAATGTTGCAGCAACAAATCCAACGTAATTCACCGCCACCTGGCTACCGATCGACTTTAGATGTCTATAGCGTATCACAGGCGACATCAGCTCTAACTGGTGCGTCTCTTAACTATACCAATGAAGCATCGGGCAGTTGCAGTCCCCAGTCCGCCGATAATAGATTATCAAATGCCTGCACTTTTCAAAATGAAAATACTATGAAGCATAATTTATGTTTGAATACGAATCAATTAAGCAAACAGCACAGAGCGTTGGCTAATGCAAATTTGCCAGATTTGAATATGAAAAAAGTATTAAATGCCCAATCGTGCTGCTCCCTCCAACGGGCCGAAGTTGAAAACATGTGGAATGCGGCAGCTGCCGCTTTGGCGGCAAGAGAAAGGCCCACGAATAGTTCGCCGACAATAGTCGCAAGTGTGCATAAATCTCTACCCTATACTGCAATGGCGGTAGCGAATGCAATAAAATCCAGCAGCCCCGAAACATTTGGCACCAGATATTTAAAACAAAACAGTTATCAAAGCGGTTGTCCTTTATGTGGCAAATTTCGTTACGATGACGAGTCTACACATTCATTGTCTATTGAAAGCGGCTTACATAATTTGGCATCAGGTGGCATTGATGATGAAGAAGAGTTAGAAGCTGCCTCTTACCACAACATATCAAGAGAAAAACAAAAAGAAGAAAAACAAGAAAACAATTTACTGCAGAATTTTGGCGGAAACGGCATAAAGCAGCGAGAAGAAGAGGAAGACGGACATGAAGAAGAATGCAGTTGTATCAGTCTGCAAAGTAAGCAACAGCCAAGAGACAACGAAAGACAAGCATTTCATAACAACAAAGAAACCGCTAACACTGTTTGCCGACAAGGCACAACGCCGTTTTTCTTATGTAACAATAACCAAACATATAACGATGATGCCGACGATGATTGCGAAATAAATAATTGCGATGACGATGAGCTTACTGTCATAGATAACAAATTCATTAACACTACAGCATTAAATGACAGCAATCCAGGCGAAATTATTTTAAATTCTAAGGAATCTTACAGCGATAACAATAACAACAGCAATAATAATAACAACCAAACGGACCGTAATTCCAATATTTCGTTGTTAAGTTTGGCGAGCAATGCAAATTCGAATGCACAGGATAACAATAACAATAGTACCTCAGAATTAACAACAACATTATTAAATTCTCCCCTAACCTCGTGCAAACGTCCCTCTATTTCTACAGAGTCAAATAATGCGGATGAATATTCATTCGCCTCGACTACGTTGAATTTGGATCGTATTAATGAAAACGGTATCATAAGTTTGGATATGAGTAAAATTATTGATAAAACCGGTCTACCCACCTACGATGCGGCCTTAAAATTAGAATCTAGTGGTTACGTATAAACAAAATATACACGGATAGCATAATCATATTTTGTTATTTAAGCGAAGAAAAAAACGAATAAAAAATGACAACCTTTTATAAAACATGTTTATCCCGCCAGGGAGCAATGGCTTTTTTGATATTGCTATATGACAATCAAGTCCATAAGTGAGTTTATAAAGGCTTGTTTGCTTTCTTTACTTTTAAGGATTATGGCCCCATATAATAGCCCAAAAAAAAAAGAAGACTTTTGAAAATTTTTTTTTGATCTGTTGGGAAAGCTAATAAAATAATAATGATCGTGGGGATGATTAAGAGTATCTTCAAGTCCTAGAAAAAAGAAATGACTTTTGAAAAATTTTAAAAGATTACAACTCCGAAGCGATTCTCATGGGGCACCTATAATTAAAGTTAAGTACAGGCCGCCCCTGTTTTGGTGCACAAAAAAATGCTGATTTTTGTATGATTTTCAAGTGTTTGAAAGAAAAAGTTCAGTTATTGATTGACCGAGAAAAGCCACTCTCTTATTAACAAGCAGGTGAAAGCATTTATTTTGTCCATCAGTTTTCTTAGTTCAGTTGTTCATATAATGACTTTTCAAAGGAAGGAGTTGTATGTGGAGAGGTAGGAAAGAAATCCAATGCGAATCATATTTCCCTCGTCCTAGGACCAAAACACAACATTTTATTATAATATCACTCTCGAATTATCAGTGGTTGAAAACGTAGTTAGACACGAATCATTTGCAATAGCGTTCATGCTTGAGCCAAAACAAGTCAGTGCACAAAATTCATCAAAATATCTCAAAGCCGCGACATTTTGATTGATAGCAAGAGTACATGGACAGACAGATAGGCAGTCAAATAAGCATGGGTCGACTGTACAGTGAATCTGGATCGCTCGATTTTTGGATACTACAGCATGTAAAAATTCTCAGGAAATGGAAACCGTTATATGCCAAAAAGAACTGATTGTCAATGTTTTAAGATGAAAACTTGTTCATAAAATTTAAGTCGAGCAACTTTGAAATATATACGTCTATTTCTGGGATTTCGATATAAGATTTGTCATGACTAGTAGTTACTTAAGAGAAAAGTTTAATATTTAATATATTACGATGAAAATTGACCTTTAGGACCAATGTAGTAATGAAACTGACGGTAGATAATTTGTATTACATACGTTTATTTTTTAATTGTCAATATATAGGGATTATCGTGAAAAGCCAGCCTTTATATTTATTAATAACTGCAGCATAATACATTTTTTAGGAAATAAAATAAATTTGCTAAATTTAGAGTAAGCCTTGCGATATTCTGGGCATTCTTTCATAAGCAAGCTTTTATGAAAAGTATGCCTTTGCAGAAAAATAGTGTGTAATTTTTGCTATGTGTCATTGCTAAAACGAGTGAATAATTGCATTAAGCGAAATAGTTTACGCTACGTAATTGTCGGCCGTGACGCGACTATGATAATTTTACTTCTTTTACGAAAAGTTTATAATGGCCTTACCCCTTAAGTTCATTTGGATAAAAACTTATTGAGCCTTAGTCAACTATACTTGAATTGTGTGCTTCGTAGTCTTGAAAGCAATACATGCAATCTGTTCTCTAATCTCGTTCAGACAGCACTGATATCGACTTGATAAAATCTGAAATAGATTTTTCATTACATTACAACTGGGGGAAATATATCTAAGAATTATTTTATTAATGAGGCAGCAAGAATTTGTTATCAAATCTGATATTATTCCGCTAGAACATGGTGATACTAGTCAAGCGTAAAAATATGGTTTAGAGAAGACATAAAAAAAATATTTTTTGGGGTTAATATATTTCTGGTATGGCGCAAACACTTTCAAGGCAATCAAAACGACATGATTTCTTGAACGGCTTAAATTTGAGGAGTAGGCTGGATAAAGGACTTTGGATTAATTTTGAGATAATGTTGGCTTTGTTCCCAATGAACTGAGTCACTTTAAAAATCCTAACCTTATTAAGCTATATATGACCAAGGGCAAGTTATCGCCGTTCGGATATTTTCGAACTCAGTCCAAACTAACGACATTTTTCAAATATCAAAAGAAAAAAAAAGAAGCTATAGTGCCGAAAAAGTCATGTTCATCAGCAGCTCTTTGTGATCAGATCTTTTTTATAATGTAACGGCTTTTGCTTGATGGTTGAAAATGAATTTCCTGTGATAAGCTGGATAGCTATAAATCTACTGCACGCTTAATAACTGATCAGCGTTTGGGCTTACTTACTTTCGACACAAGCGCGGTGTTTGTTTACTTTCTTCTGTGTTATGTGTTGCCGCCTTTCACACGAGCTCTAATGCGACTTGATATCTTTGACATTACCAAAATGATGCGATTCTAACGCCACTTATTGGGAACAACACAATGGTTTAATGCATATCGTACACTGGTGGTGAGTATATGAGTCAATATAAATTGTTTTTACTTTCTTTTAATCTTTTAAGTACATGTAGCAACGCTTAACGCTTAACGTGTTCATGAATAAATATTAAAAGTTTGAAACATAAAAACAAAAAAGAGAAAATCGATAAAATTTTATATTATCATAAATAAATTAAAAGAGAAAGCAAGCGAACATACACTAATCGGCATAATGCGAAAACCTTCATAATTGCGTAGATATTTGTGACACCTTCGACACCCACTTGAAAAAGGCTTTACTGCACGCGAAAGTGTCACCATTGTCATTGTCACCATGTTTTCATTTTGAAATAAATTTGTTAGTTATCATTTAGAGACATTGATAATGAATTGATTTCATTAGTATGTTGTCTGTAATGATGATAGCTAAAAAAAAAAAAAAAGAAAAAAGCTTCAAAGAACTTGCAAGACTTTCTTGTTAAATATAAAAGAAGTTTGCTCACGTTGCTTACAGAAACTTAAACGCACACTATACTAGATTCTTAAAAAGAATTTTTGCAAAATATGGCAAATTTTCATATGGTATTTTTTACGATTCGATCCGTAAATGGAAAAAGTAAAATTACAAAATCAATAAGATATGGAAGACGCTTTCACTTTGAACATATAGATAATACCTACAATTGTATGATATGTTAAGTTCGTCGATGAAAATATAGGGAAAATTTATTTATTTATTTGTTTTTTTTTTGAAAGACGATTTCTGAAGAGCTACGCTCTAGTCCAAAATAATAGTAATCGAAATGAAATCCATGAAATTTGAATTTTGCAAATAATGAGTAAATGAGAAAAATATATTCGGCTGCGACCAAACCCTTTATACCTATTGCGATTATTTGAAAAAAAAGGAAAAAAATCTACATATTGAAAGGGCGTGGCCAATGTTTTCTATTTTCGTGGAATAAAACTGGAAATTTATATCATGTGTTTCAAACACATACTCATATGAATACGTTTAGAAAAATTCAGATTTGATAGAATCTCTTGTAGGTGCTGCAAACGTTTTGACAAAGGTATGATATCTTAGTATTCTATAATATAAAGCAGGCGTTGTAGGACCACCTTACCACCGACACACAGATGAACGAACATGGTCAAAACGATTTAGACTTTCATACTGATCATGTAGGATATCTGAGATTTCTGGGTGTTGCACGTGTTTTGACAAAATGAATACGCTCCGAATTCTTAAATGATGGATATGATCAAAAATTTGTATCGACCTGTTTCGGTTGCGCGCTCTTGGAATGATGAACTTTTTTTTGTTATTAGCTTACGAACTTGCATTGTAAACTTTAAATAAGTTTAATCCTAAATTTGTGCAACTTGGGCTAGAGAGGCAATTGTGTCTAGTGTGTGTTACAAACCAAATTTGTTTCTTTGAGAATTGCTCAATGATATTATTTTTAGCAATTTTAACAAGGCCATGAACCGGTCAACTTTTCGATGGTAAAAAAAGTTGTTTTGTAAATGGTCATCAATTAGTAAACGTTGGCTATTACATAATTTTGTTTCAATTTGATAATGTCATGCCAGTTGCTATTAAATATTTATTGCATCAAGCAACAGATTAAAATTTAAAAAGAGATCATTTATTCTGTTTCGTAAAAACAAAAAACCAAGAATTTCATGGTGTGCAATATCTTCATTATATTTACTTATTCGTGTAAGGATACGTTTATATATGCAATTGCGGATGACAATCGTTGATATTCTAGTGATTTTCTTTTTTTTCATTTTACTTATAATTGCTGTAGTTATCAGTGTATCTTATAAAAAATTCTTTGTCAGATCTAGCATTATCACGAGGGATTTTTAATGTTAATGATAATGCGACCATTTTTTTTTCATGTCTACATTCAGTTTATCAGAATGACGGCAATGCAATAAGTTTTGCTCTCATATCCCTTAACGCTCCCCGCCGATTACCATGCGGTTGCAATTGTGGTTTTGCAAAGGTTTCTGGCACATGTTACAATAGTCCGTTAAGCTTTCCAACGGTAAATACAGGTAAGAATCCTGTCTTTATTCCTAATGATTAATTTAAAAAAAAAAAAAATCAAAAAATACTTTTCGAATAACTTAAAATTCAAACGAAACTTATAAGGTTTGCTAAGAAAAAGTGTTGAGGAATTTTATACGGTCTCTAACACAGTTGTATATTTGATTAGAAGCTCTTTTGCTGTTACATCATTTAGAAGATGAAGAAAAAGTTTATTCCGTTTTCCGTCAAAACTCAAATTAATTTATTATGCCAATCACCGAAGGATGAGGTTATATTCAATTTGCCAAAACGTCTACAACGTTCAAAAGGAAGTTTCAGTGTATTTATATTCTTGCTCAGTATCAAACTCTGAATGTATTTAAGCATATCCGTCTGAAGGTCTGTCCAATTGTGTAATGTGCGTTTTAAACATTCTTCTCGCCGCAAAAGTTAAGCAATCGACTTCAAATTTGGCAGAAGTATGGAAAGTTCTTGCACGAAGGTTGCTATTGAAAACAAAATCATTCAAATAACGCGTAGAAGCAAGCTTCAAAAATCCTATAAAGTTTACAAGTTCGTAGCCAATATCAACG